TGCAGTAGAGTAGTAGATAAATATAGTAAAATTGTATGGTGAAGCGGTAAGCTTGGTCCATCTTCTTTACCTATTTAATGTGTATGTGTATGTATGTGTTAATTTTGGAAGTAAATCATATACTTTTTAGCCGTATCGGAGTTTTAAAATCATTCACATATTTTACTTAGGTTTCCTGAAGGTTGAGCATCAGGAATTATAGTTAATAGTTCTAAGAATAGGTATTTTAGCAGCCTTTGAAGTATAGAACTTTTCCAGAGGTGAGTAATCTTGTTTTGTTTTGTCTTATTTTTTCTAGTGTGAGTCTTTATTATATTCTCTTTCCTCCTTTTTATTTATTTATTTTTTTTTTTAAGTAAACTCAGTGCCCAACATGGGCTTGAACTCATGACCCCAAGACGGAGAGTCAGTCACATGCTCTACCAACTGAGCCAGACAGGCACCCCTCTTTCTTTCTTCCTAATCTATTACTGTCAGCATCTTGACAAGTTTCAACCAAAAATCTAAATCAAAAGGTGTACACTTAACATTACTTGAATTTAAGTTGTAATTTGGTATTACTTAATTTCTAGGCAAAAGACTAGAAGGAAAGTTTTAAAATACAATTACCTAAAAGTTTTAAATGAAGCTTGAGTTATAGGAAATAATTTTTTTTAATGTTAATTTATTTTTGAGAGAAAGAGCGCAAGCAAGGGAGGGCAGAGATAGACACAGAATTGAATGCAGGCCCCAGGCTCTGAGCTGTCAGCACAGAGCCCAATGCTCAAAGAGCCCAAGGGCTCAAACCCATGGACCAAGAGATCATGACCCAAGCTGAAGTCACACGCTCAACTGACTGAGCCATTCAGGTGCCCCTATAGGAAATAATTTTAATGTAAGAGTAAGCACAAGCAGTGAGCTATAATTTACTGGATTAAAGTGTTAACTTTCTAAAGTTGTAGAAATTTTCTTCTTGACCTGAAGCACTCAAACATTTTCTCCTTGGCATCTGATCTAAATGTAATCTTCCTTTTCTGTTTTAGAATTCTTTCAGATCTAGAAGTCATTATCTTATCAACATTTCGATGCTTTTTTTTAATATTAAAATTTGCCTTCATTCCCCTCACCCAACATCTATCATTCACATTGTTTTAGATACTTTTTACCCCATCCCCATTTATGTAGTCTAAACACACTAATCTTTAGAAGACTAAGGAAGTTAGGTAAAAATATTCATAAAATCAAATGTAAAATTCTCTAAAGACATTTCTATCTCTAAAGTGATTTCTTTATTACCATTAAAAGTTATTTTGTTTTCCTTATAGAACTGAAAGGAGAATTAAAACGATACAGGCCTTTCTTAATGCTATACAAAAGTCTATTGGCAACCTAAGAATTGAGGGGGGTGGAAGACACTATAGAGAGAACTTGCTTTGTTATTCAAATTGGAAAAGTTATTTACTTGAGTAAAATGTAAATTACTAAGCCTTTTAGATTAATGAATTCTAAAGGCCTTAGAAATACTTTTTGCAAAAATGATAGTAAAGTATTTGAATACCTTCTGCTAAAGGATTACTGCACTGATTTCTTTAGTGATCTGTGGGACATCGGTTTTACATTTCACTTCATAACACGTTTACAGAGTACTACCAGTCACTACAGCATGTTTTCAATAAAATATTTAAGATTTCTGTTGCCTTGAAATTTGGACACAGTAAATTTGGGGGGTAGGGGGGATATATTACCTTTTGGCTATGTTACCAAAGCCATAGGTATTTTCTTACCATGGTTATTACTTTTTATCAACATGCGATCTTAAGTCTAATTTGCTTTCAGGTGCAAAATTCTTAAGCTTTAGATATGATGTATAACATTGCTCTCTTATTCTCAATACACTTTTTAATATGCTATCATTTAAAGACATTTTTGAACCACTCTGACCTTGTCCTCTGAAGGAGATTCAGCTACGAATTTTTAAATGTTTTACTTAAGAATTGGTGTTTTTCAAACACTAGACTTCTTCAACTGGAGAAATGATACCAAAAGGAGAATATGGATTCAAATCTATAAATTTATGAATAATGTTCAAATAGTAAAGCAGATTTAATAAATTCTGATGTGGATGTATTAATACTTCAGAAAAAGATGAATTCACAGTAAATAAATGTGAACATTTACATAAAACAGCAAATACGTAGGTACAGCATTCATTATTTCAAGAGTGGTACAAATAGAACGTGTGAGTGAATAAATGAATGATAGAGGAATTAAGATATTTGGATCCAGTCATAACTTAGCAATTAAAATCTTTGATGATTCTATGAGAAACAAACTCCTCTTTTCTCTTTTTTCTAATGTCACTTACTGGGTCTCTTCTCAGCTCTGTATTTCTAAAAGAGGGAGACTGGCCTACTTTATATACAAGTGTTTTAGCCGTTATTGTGCCAAGATGTACCTAATTCTCCTTGGCATGGAATATCATCCAAAAATGTTAGGCAGTGACTTCCTATATGTTGTTAATTTTGCCAGCAAGAAATAAAAGCAAATGGCAATATAACATATTATTGTGATTCAGAAAAATGAAAAGCATTTTCCTTCAAAGCCCTAAATTCAAGAATTTGAGAGTCTAAGGTACAAGAAATGACAAAGGTGTTCCTCCCATGTGTCAATTCGGATTGGTTGGTGTTAGCTGCTGTGTTGAGAAGTGCTTTGGTAAGTGCTCTATTAAGGCTTTTTGAGGCCAACTCTGATCTTAGAAGGAAAAATTAACAATTTCATAAGCAATAGATAAGGAAATTGCAGAATGTATATGAAGTAGTTTCCATTTCTACCCTAATCTTAGTTTTTGTATGTTTTACTCGAAGAAACTAAAAATCAAAGAGGTTTGTGACATTTTCATTAGATCTTTGATTTGGCACATCTATAGCCATATTTCACTTAAAAGATTCTTTATAGTAGGACATAAACTTCCTCTCTGATTAAGGATCACTAAGATTCATGATATAAAAGAAAGGGGGTGTGTGTGAATATAAGGCACAAAGAGTAAATAGTTACACAATTATTTTGCTATGCTTGTTTTTGAAATAAAGAAGCTAAATAATTATATTTTAAACAGTGTGTGTGTATCTATGTATTTGCAATTACAATAAATATGTTACCTACATTTTATAACTTTAAAGAGTGATACAACAGAAAGAGAATGGAAGAAAATTCGGAAAAGTATGTGTGTAGAGATTATGGAAACCTAGGAACAACGTTGAGGAGGAAACAAGAGAACTCAGGGAAGAAGGATCTGACATGCGGGAAAATACAAATAAAATATTTAGGGTTTTTCTTGATTTTCACACGTTAAAGTATTGTCTCCTTTTGTTAGCACCTTCTAGAGTAACTGCTTTTTCATCTTTAAGGTTCTTCTCTCAGTGGGATATGCAGTGTCTTAGTCCTCTCAGGAGGATCATTGGCTCTGAGCAGTCTAAATGAAAGCCTCTAAGGATTAGGAGAGTCCTAGTGATTAACAGTCTCCTACTGTAGTATTTCATAAAAGATTGTTCATTTTCTTCTGTAAAGTCAAGACTAATCCATCAAGCATCATATTGAGTCTTTGGTGAAAACATTACTGAACAATATAGGATCCATATCTATACTTTGTCTTCCATTCCCAGCACAAAATCATTTTCCCTGATTGCATTTTGTTACTTTTGCTTTTCATTTGCTCACTAATGTAAAGCCTACAAAGGTGCCCAATTAGAAAGATGACTGAATAAATGTTTTAAATTCTTTTTTTACTTCTCAGATGTATTCTTAGCTCTTCTCTATATCTTTGTACCTTCAATTTAAGATTTATACCAGGTAGTTATAATTTTAAAATAATATATAAAGACTTTAGAAATAATCGAAAGGAATTTCAAATCATTCCTTTAAGCTTCAGTCTCAGCTCCTCTGAAAATTGTATCATCCGTTTCTAAGGGAGCATCTTCGAAACAGGAAGATACTTCTATAGTGTAGTGTAGACTTTTCTGCAGTGCCTTGCATTATTACATAGCAGTCAGTTCCTGTTTTAAATCTACTAGCATTTTTTGGTGGGTAGTAAGATACGTAGGAAAAAGAAATGGTGGGATTGTAATCATTCTCTTCTTACTTCATCGTAGTTATTTAATGTATTACTGTAAAGTAACTATAAAATGTTTTTATAATTTAGAAAGTTTTTCTCTAGAAATATCACTTATGGACTTTTATTCTCATTGGATTTGAAAATCCATTCCAAAATGAAAAACATTAATATCTTTTTAGTATATATTAGAATTTCGTCTTAGTTTAATTAAAATGTGAAATAAATTTGGTTTAAATATTTCTTTGGAAGAAATAAACTTTGTTATTATTTTCCTACAAAATACCGAATTTACCTCTGCATGTTGAATGTGCAGCAATTAAGATATTATGAAAAATTTCCTTTTGAACCTAAAACATGTCTGCTGATACTCTGTAGCAGTGCTGAGAACATTCAATGCTGTGGAAATGGTCGTTTTAATGAACCATAGGGTTAAGTGAGAAGGATACAAAATTATTAATTATATGTAATCTTAATAAAAACATGATATTATACTTGTGGAAGTGGGATGAATTGTCTTGATTTTCTGTTAGCTTTCTATAGCTAGCTTCTGCAAGTCTCTGTTAAAAAAAAAACACTTTCAAAAATAAAATTACTGTGTCAGCTTATAGCAAGATAGCATGTTATATAGTGCAAAAACTAGTAAATCATTAGGAAGGAATGGATAAGAAAATAAGGTTAGTTGAATCTTCAGTAACATTATTACATTGTGATTCACACCTTTCTGCAACCACCACATAAACAAGTTTCAGTGTTTTCTCTTAAATTACCAATGTTACCAAGTTAGAATTTGCTCTTTTGTATGTTGCAATTTATCTCATTTTAAATGGCCATTTAAGAATACTCTGGGGGAAGAAAAGAATATTCTGCAACGCATTTTTACTTTGACTTTTCCCCCTTCCTATTTCTTTAGGAGTTGATCCCCCTCATACTGTGCACAGCATGCCTACATCCTGAGCCTAAAGAAAGAGATCAGCTTCTCCATATACTCTTTAATTTGATCAAGAGGCCAGATGATGAGCAGAGGTAGGTATGACTACTCCTTTGGGAAATAAAGATCATGTTGATTGATTAATGTCACTAATGTGGCACCAAGATTAGCATTTTAATCTAAATGCCTTCTTCCTGTCCCAATATTTATTTTAACAAACAGAGGAAACACTGGCCCCATTCACAGAGTTCTGTGATATCTTCATTCTCGTTATTCCAGCTACTCGTGTTGCATTTGTACACTTTTATATTAGTTGCCTTTAGACTTCTAATTCAAAAATTTCTTTTACTTTTTATCTTTCCCTTTTGATTTCTAAGAATCCCTAAATATTCCCCCTTTTGCCCACAGATGAAGTACGTAGATTATGGCTTCTTAACGGTCCCTCCAAAAACTAAAATATTTAACATATAAATTTCTGCATCACTGGGCTGTCTGTAAACCAATTACTATGTGACTAGAGTGATAGAGTATTTTGTTTTTGTTTGTCGTGACTCAGATGCTCACAACTGTTGATACCTGAGTGGGGAAATTAGTTCTGAGGGTGATAAAAGGGACACAATTCAGGGTGACTCTCCAGGAGAATAGGGAATAGGTTGCGATCAAGTGATAATGATAGTTGTAACATAACATAAAAAAAGTAAAGCTCAAATTTTTATACATATTTTTTAAAGTTTATTTATTTTGAGAGAGAGAGAAAGAGCGTGAGTAGGTGAGGGGTGGGAAGGTGGGGTAAGAGAGAATGAGAATCCCACGCAGGCTCTGTACTGTCAGAGCAGAACCCGACTTGGTGCTCCAGCCCACGAACCATGAGATCATGACCTCAGTCAAAGTCGGACACTTAACCAACTGAGCCACCAAGGCACACTTAAAGCTCAAAATTTTAAATACAAGGTATCTCTCAACCCTGAGAATAAAAATAGTCATATAGATTTTTAAACTTTATGAATATGTATGTCTTTCTTGTTCTTATCAAAATATACCTGAGCAAGTGGAGAAACCTGTCCTTTTAGGATCCAGTCAAGACGAATCTACACCAGCAGTTCTCACGTGCTAGTCCAGTGGAAAGAGGGAAATTTGAGGCCCCTGGGTGGCTCAGTCGGTTAAGCATCTGACTTAGGCTTAGGTCATAATCTCATAGTTCATGGGTTCGAGCCCTGCATCAGGCTCTGTGCTGACAGCTCAGAGCCTGGAACCTGCTTCGGAATATGTGTCTCCCTTTCTCTGTTCCTCCTCCGCTCACACTTTCTCTCTCTCTCTCTCTCTCTCTCTCTCTCTCTCTCTCTCTCTCTCAAAAATAAATAAGCATTTAAAAAATTAAAAGTAAAAAGAAAGGAAATTAAATCACTGTATTAGTACTATTCATTGCAAACTAAAAATTTTCTAAGGACAGTTTGATGGTGCTGTGTAAGAAAATTAATATTTTATTTTCTCCTTGAAAAATACTATTCCCAATGGCAGTTTAGTTAATAATTACCATTTACCACATTGTTATTTTTAAATTTGCAAGGCAAAAACCTTTAGATCCCCTAGGCTATTTTCACAGACTCTGTGTGGAAAGCTAATAGCTGCCACCTGGTGGCCAACAGTACCTATTAGCCTTACTTCAGGTTGAGTTGGATCAGGAATTCAGCACTCATGCCCACGTTGAAATTTTTTACCTTACAGATATAAAATTATTTACTGAAATAGACTAATCCGCCGACTCGCTATGTACAATGTGAATAACAAATTAACAAAGCAGAATGTTTAAGTTCGCATATTTCTCAATATACATATGTATTGAGAAATCACTTGTCATATAATCACTTGTTACTTTTCCTGACTTAATCTTGGGCTTGTTTCTTTGTCTCCTAAGAAGAATTTAATTTTATGCTTAATAATGATGCATTTTGCCAGTTCTTTCCTGACAACCATAATTGCCATCATATTTCTACCTGCATCAAATAGTAGTCAAATAATCCCTGTCCTGCAATTTTCTGCCCGTGAGAACATTTCATTTTACCATTACAGGAGCCTGTTTCCAATGCTGTTAATAATCTGTAGGCATCTGACCTTTTCTGTTTTCAACCTGTGTTTCAAAACTGTCATACTTTTTAGAATTAACTTTGCTGGCTAAGAAGTTTGCCCAACATTTTTTCAACAAGTTTATATATCTGTAGTATGTAGATGGTGGCTCATGATTTAAAGTCCTTTCACATGAGGGTTTCATGCAGGTGTTTGTAATGCCTAAATTTCACCTAAGTTCATTTATTAAAAGAGTCAAACATTTGTGAAAACAATATATGTGCCTTCTCATTATTTTAAGACACTCGTGGGGAAAAAACAATGTTCAGATATTAGGAAATTTTCATTGGGGAACACCCAGCTAAAATGTTGTCCATAAACATTGGGAATTTATTTTTCCATTTTTCTTTTATCCATGTTATTTGCCTTCCCAAAGTAGGAAATAGAAAAGCAAAGGAAGACTTAAGAAATAGGCATAGAAGATGATAATATAAAGGGGAATCAGATATTTAAAAATACAAGATTCTGGTGAGAAGAAGCTGCAATATACAATGAAGATATACTGGCTCAACATTTGCCTCATTGAAGCAGGCTCCAGGCTCTGCTGTCAGCACAAAACCCGACGTGGGGCTTCAACCCACGAACTGTGAGATCATGACCTGAGCCGAAGTTGGATGCTCAACCGACTGAGCCACCCAGATGCCCCAACATTTGCCTCATTGTTGTCCAGATGATCTTTGTCATTATTCTTCTCAGCCTGAGAGAATAGTAATAGCTAATCTGACTAAATTAAATAGAAATTTAGTTATTTTTCAGTTTAAGTTGAGTTGACTTATATTGAGAAATAGCAGTGAGCAATGCCTGGGCTTAAAATGCTATTTTTATAATTAATATGAATAAAACATTCTAATTTGCTTTTCCTTGAAGTTGGCTACTTTAAAACATGTATTGAAGGGGCACCTGGGTGGCTCAGTCGGTTAAGTGTCAGACTTCAGCGCAGGTCATGATCTTACGGTTCATGGGTTCGAGCCCCACATCAGGCTCTCTGCAGCTCAGAGGCTACTTCAGATCCTCTGTCCCCCTCTCTCTCTGCTCCTACCTTCTTACCTCCTTCTCTCCCTCTCTCCCTCTCTCTCTAAAAAATAAATAAACCTTAAAAACAAAACCATGTATTGAAAACATACTCTCTTTTTCCATCTGGTTATACTGTTTTGAACTAGATAATCAAAACTGGAAAAACTTGGGGCACCTGGGTGGCTTAGTTGGTTAAGCATCTGACTTTAGCTCAGGTCATAATCTCACAGTTCATGAGTTCAGGCTCCACATCAGGCTCTGTTCTGACAGCTCAGAACCTGGAGCCTGCTTCAGATTTTGTGTCTCCCTCTCTCTCTGCCCCTCCCCTGCCCTCACTGTATCTATCTTTCTCTCAAAAATAAACAAAAAAAATACAATTTTTTAAAAAATGGAAAAATTTATAATTCTTTATTTTAAAATCATTTAAAATGTAACTTCATTCTGAAGAGTGAAAAATTGTATTTAAAATTTAAAACTCTTATAAGTTTCAAATCTGTCAATTCAAATGAAGTTATATTAATTAAATATATACTATTCTAGGGACAAATTACACCAGAAGAAAGTGGTTTAAAATAACACTCATTTTTTCCCACAGTCAATATGAAATTTAATCACTAGGCATAATTGAAGATACAAAAGTCAAATTATTACATCAGCTTTGTGTTAACAGCATTACTGATGATTAGTTGATTTCTGACACCCAAGTACCCAAACTCTTAAGGCATTCAAAGCAAACAAGATATTCTTATTTTTATAGACAGAAAGGTTTGCTCTAACAAAGTGATTCTCAAAGTGTGGTCCAAGTATCCTTTGGGGTCTGTAACAGCTCTTTAAGTGCACAAAGTGAAAGACTTTTTTTTTTTTAATTTAAATTTTAGCTAGTTGACATACAGTGCAATATTGGTTTCAGGGGTAGAATTCACTGATTCGTCACTTACATACGACACCCAGTGCTCATCACACGTGCCCTCCTTCGTACCCATCACCCATCTAGCCCATCTCCAACCACCTCCCTCTGTCAACCCATAGTTTGTTCTCTTTCATTAAGAGTCTCTTGCGGTTTGTTTCCCTCTCTCATCTTTTTTCCTCCCCTTCCCATATGTTCATCTGTTTTGTTTCTTAAATTTCACATGAGTAAAATTATATGGTATTATCTTTTTCTGATCGAGTTATTTCACTTAATACATTCTAGCCTCATTCACATCATTGCAGGTTGCAAGATTTCATTCTTTTTGATGGCCCTGTAATATTCCAGCGTGGGGTGTGTGTGTGTGTGTGTGTGTGTGTGTGTGTGTGTGTGCGCGCGCGCGCATCTTTATCCATTCGGCAGTCAATGGACATTTGAGCTCTCTCCATACTTTTTCTATTGTTGATGATGATGCTGTAAACATTGGGCTGCATGTACCCCTTCGAGTCTGTATTTTTGTGTCTTTTAGGTAAATACCTAATAGTGCAATGGCTGGGTCGCAGGGTAGTTCTATTTTTAGTCTTTTGTGGAACCTCCATACTGTTCTCCTGAGTGAATGCACCAGTTTGCATTCCCACCAACAGTGCATGAGAGTTCCTTTTTCTCTAATCCTTGCCAACAACTATTGTTTCTTATGCTATTTAGCTATTTTTTAAGCACCAAGATACATTAATTTTTTTAATGTTTATTTTTGAGAGAGAGAGTGAGCAAGGGAAGGACAGACAGTGCTGCATTCACAGTGCAGAGCCTAATGCAAGGCTCGAATTCAAGAACTGTGAGATTGAGACCTGAGCCAAAATGAAAAGTCAGGTGCTTAACCAATTCAGCCACCCAGGCGCCCCTAATTTTAGCCACTCTGAAAGGTCTGAAGTGGTATTTCATTGTGGTTTTGATTTGTATTTCCCTGATGATGAGTGATCTTGAGCATCTTTTCATGTGTCTGTTAGCCATCTGGATGTCTTCTTTGGAAAACTGTCTATGCATGTTTTCTGCCCATTTCTTTCTTTCCTTTGTTAATGTTTATTTATTCTTGAAAGAGAGGGAGGGAGGCAGAGCATGAGCAGAAGAGGAACAAAGTGAGAGAGGGACACAGAATCTGAAGCAGGCTCCAGGCTCTGAGCTGTTAGCACAGAGCCTGACATAGGGCTCGAACCCACGAGCCATGAGATCACGACCTGAGCCAAAGTTGGACACTCAATGGACTGAGCCACCCAGGCGCCCCATCTTCTGCTCATTTCTTAACTGGCTTATTTGTTTTCTGGATGTTGAATTTGACAAGTTCATTATAGATTTTACATACTAACCCTTTATCAGATATGTCATTTGCAAAGATCTTCTCCCATTCCAAAGGCTGCCTTTTACTTTTGTTGATTGTTTCCTTCACTGTGCAGACGCTTTTTGTCTTGAAGTCCTAGTAGTTCCTGTTTACTTTTGTTCCCCTTGCCTCTGGTGATGTGTCTAATAAGTTGCTGTGGCCAAGGTCAAAGAGGTTGCTGCCAGTGTTCTCTTCTAGGATTTTGTTGGTTTGGTGTCTCACGTTTAGGTCTTTCATCCATTTTGAATTTATTTTGTGTATGGTGTAAGAAAGTGGTCCCGTTTCATTCTTGTGCGTGTTGCCATTCAACTTTCCCAACACCTTTTGTTGAAGAGACGGTCTTTTCTCCAGTGGATATTTTTTCCTGCTCTGTTGAGATGAGTTGACCATATAGTTGTGAGTCCATTTCTGGGTTCTCTATTCTGTTCCAGTGATCTGAGTGTCTGTTTTTGTGCCAGTACCATACTGTCTTAATGACTATAGCTTGAAATCTGGAATCATGATGCCTCCAGTTTTGGTTTTCTTTTTCAGGATTGCTTTGGCTATTCAGGGCCTTTTGTGGTTCCATACAGATTTTAGGATTGTTTGTTCTAGCTCTGCGAAAAATGCTGGTGGTGTTTTGATAGGAATTGCTTTGGGTAGTATAGACATTTTAACAATGTTTGTTTTTCTAATCTGTGAGCATGGAATGTTTTCCCATTTCTTTGTGTCCTCTTCAGTTTCTTTCATATGTGTTAGTTTTTGGAGCATAGATCTTTTACCTCTTTGGTTAGGTTCATTCTTAGGTATCTTATTGTTTTTGGTGCAATTGCAAATGGGATCAATTCCTTGATTTCTTTTTCTGTTGCTCTGTTATTGGTGTATAGAAATGCAACAGATTTCTGCATGTTGATTTTATATCCTGTGACTTTGCTGAATTCATGTATTCTAGCACTTTTTTGGTGGAGTCTTTCAGGTTTTCTATATAGAATATCATGTTGTCTGCGAATTAAAATAATACTCATTTTTTTATATTACAGTTTATGTGAGTCATTCTGAGTCTTGCTTCAGGATCTCTTACAAGGCTGTAATCCGCATGTTGGCTGGGGCTGTGGTCCTGTCAAGGCTCAACTTGGAAGGATTTGCTTCTGAGCTTATTCACATAGTTGGTCATTAGCAAGATTCAGTTTCTCATGGGTTTTTGGATTGAAGACCTCAGTTTCTTGCCAGCTTTTGGCCAGTGTTTCCTTCAGTTCCTTGCCACATAGACCTCCCCAACATGACTACATACTTTATCAAGGCATGCCAGCTGAGAAGGCAGTAGAGAGGGTCCCGAAGCTGGATGTCACAAAGTTTTGTAACCTAATCTCAGAAATGACATTCCATCGCTTTGGCCATCATTCTTTTCACTGGAAGCAGGTCATTAGGTCCAGGCTACAACAGCATGAATGTTGGTGGACATTATTGGGAACCATGTTAGAAGATGCCTACTGCAGTTATCTTGGGTATAGAATTCTAATTTTAGAAATATCATTTTACGGGGGTTCCATTGGTTAAGTGTCTGACTCTTGATTTCAGCTTCTGTCACGATCTCTTAGTTTGTGAGATCATGTCCTGTGTCAGGCTGCACACTGACAGCACAGAGCCTGCTTAGGATTGTCTCTCTTTCCCTCTCTCTCTGCCCCTCCCCTACTCACTCATGCCTTCTCTCTGTCAAAATAAGTAAATAAATTTTTTAAAATGTAATAAATATCATTTTACCCTAGTTTTAAATTACAGAAATACTGGCTGAATAATCATTGGTTGTTTTAGTGGCTAGAAACAAATTCTTAGATGCTGAAGCATTAGACATATTATCTCAACATGCATGGATGGGAATTTAATTTAGGAGGTTATGAGATTCAGCTTCACGCCAATAGAGAATAACTTCACAACATCTCACAAATGGTGTTGCCACTGTTAGAGGAACGAATCTTAAGGAACTCGTTCTTGTGGTGGCAGCCTAGTCCGTTGTAAGAAAAGTCTAATTTGATTGTACAAAACTGATGTATGTTGTGTGAATTATGGAGCTTTTTAAAATTTTTTAATGTTTGTTTATTTATTTTAAGTTTATTTGTTTTGAGAGAGACAGAGACAACGTGAGTCAGGGAGGGGCAGAGAGAAGGGGAGAGAGAATCCCAAGCAGGCTCCTTGCTGCCAGTGCAGGGCCCAATGTGGGGCTTGAACTCACAAAACCCTGAGATCATGACCTGAGTGAAACCAAGATATGGACACTTAACTGACTGAGCCACCCAGGTGCCCCACTGTTTAAGAGAGAAGGTGTGTGTCGTGGGGGGGTACAGGGACAGGGGGCACGAGCCAGCAAAGGAGGGCAGGAGAGAGAGAGGAAGAGAGAGAATCCCAAGCAGGCTCTCCACTGTCAGCATAGAACCCAACACAGAGCTCAAGCCCATGAACCATGAGATAATGACCTGAGCCAAAATCAAGAGTGGGCGCTTAACTGACTGAGCCAGCAGAGCTGACTCTTTTTAACCCTTAGTCCTAGTTGTGCTTTCTAATGTAAGTATAAATCTTTATTCATTTGTATTATTTTTCAGGCAGATGATACTGACAGGTTGTGTAGCATTTGCACGCCATGTTGGACCAACACGTGTAGAAGCTGAACTTTTACCACAGTGCTGGGAACAGGTAAATAACTGTATTGGGTTTTCCCCTAGCTGTTATACTGTAATTTATTATGGGTGTTCATATTTTCTTTTTTTAAATGCCGTTGGGAATTATGTGGGATCTGAATTATGCTGCTGTTTCTGTAGACCAGCACAATGATTTAATAGCACTGGAGAATGCTCTGGGATGCCTTGCTTTTTTATTCATTCTTCCAATAAGAAGAATGAATAAAGGAACTAGTTCCAGTGCCAGGTACAGTGGTAAACAAAAGACAGAGACCTTTTCGTTGGGAGATAAGAATAAACAAATAAATGATCTGTCTTGTATTATTATAAACTATGAAGAAAAATAAAGCAGGATAAGAGTTAGAGAATGATGGAGAATGCTGTTTGAGAAAGGGTGGTCAGAACAGGAATCTCCGAGAACATGATGTTTCTGCAAGGATCTGAATGGAGTAAATTACTGCAAATACAGAAGCCCTCAGGTGCGAGCTTGATGAATTCAAGGGAGTGCAAGAAGGCTCTGTGTGTTGTGTGCATGTATGTGTGTGTGTAGGTAATAGAAATAGTATATGTATTATATACTTGTATATATTGCAAAGCTATACAGAATATAAAATGTAAACTGTTGATATGGGAAGTTTTTGTATTTGTAATCAACTCACTACTAACAGTACTTTTGGTTTTATGTTGAATTTTAATATTCCAGTCCTATGTATCTTTGACTTTCTAGACTTGATATTTAGGTCATTATGTGGGTTATTTATCCACCTTAAAAAAAAGATGAATTTCTTATAAAGGCAAATTTCATGGCCCTATTTATAATAACATAGTCATTTATTCTTAAAAAATACTGGTCTCTGGAATATCACTAAAGCGTATACTCTTTTAGAATTCTGTTCCTAATTTCTTTGAGTATTCATTTTTTCCTTTAAAATTTATTAGAGTTTAAGCTAAATTAAATTTGTGAAGTGAACATTATATATGGTCTTGTTATCTCTGACAATCTTTTATGTCCTCTGTAGATTATAATGCATGCTAATTTAAGATGAGGCTGTAATCTTTGAAGGTCAAATTAACTTGGAAATAACATATACAACTTTCAGTTTACAAGTCTATATTGTTATTTATATGTAAACATATTACATTTAATAATGTTTTCTATTTCCTTTTCTTTCTATTGAGCTTTATTGAGATACTCAGATACCACATACCCATTTAAAGGCACACTTCAGTGGTGTTTAGTGTGCCCACAGACTTGTGCAACCGCCACCACAATCAATTTTAGAAAAGTTTTATCACCCCAAAAAGAAACTCCAAACCTTTGAACTTCCTTCTCGTATGTCCAAGATTGTTTTGGCTATTCTGGGTCCCTTGGGTTTCCATGCTAATTTAGGATGAATTTGTCAGTTTCTGCCAGAAGCCATCTGGAATTTTCATGAGGATTGCATTGATTTCTGTAGATCAGTATGGAGAGTATTGCCATCCTAATGTGAGCCTTCCAAACCATGAATTTAGGACGTGTTTCCATGTATTTGGTTCCTTTAAATTTTCTTTCAATGATATCTTGTGGTTATCAGAACATAATTTTTATACTTCTCTTTTCAACTGATTTCCTAAATATTTTATTCTTTCCGATACTATTGCAAATAGAATTTTCTTAATTCAGTATTGGTTGCAATATAGAGAAATACAATTGATTTTTATATGTACATTTAATTTTAAGGCTCATTGAGCTAGACTAAAGAAAAGCAAAAGCAAAGTTATGTATAGCATACTTTGACATTCAAATCATTCTGCTTTCAGGATTACTATTTCTGGATTAAATTTAATTTACAGATATTAGTTACAAGTATCTTTACCACCACCTCTTCTATAACCTGAATAAACATGCATATCGGAGATCTATCTAGCTGACTACCTCCGATCTGTTGCCCGGTAGATTGCTATGTGATTTCTTTTCTTAATTTTAGGCATCCAATACATTAATGAATTATGTCACCTTTTCCTGTGGGAATATGAGAACAGATATACTTCTTTTCCAGTCAAGGAAAGATTTATATTCTGTGAAGAAGACATATGGCAACAAAACCCAGTATGTGTCATTTTTTTTGTTGCTATTTTTGTTTATTATAGTACAGTGTAGTCATCACAACACCAAAGCCCCATCGTCTTGCACATACTACCAGAAATGGATTGAAGTCTGCTTACTTTAGAAACAAAATCATATCACTAGTCAAGGGTTCTGGTTAAATCATTGATTAACTTCCTAATCCCTTAGTTGAATAAGAGAACTGATGAGTTATTCCTGGCACCTGTTAATAAGCCATGTCTATCATATTCAGAAGCTGGATTTTTCAAGTTTAAAACTAAACGAATGTTACCAGGACTGAAGAAAACTCCTCCTGACTTCGTAAGGAAAGCCTAGTCATAGGCAAGCCCACAATCTCTAGACACCTTGCCGCATTTTCGTCTTTGCTTTATCCTTTTTTTTTTAACAGATAACCCTTGTGATCTCATTTTTTAGGCTCTCTCTGATTCCCTTATTCCTGATCCGGTCATAGCCTCACAGGGATTCCCAGAAGTGGGGAAAAAAAGAAGCTTTATTGCATTCTTAACAGGATTTATTATGAAAAGCAATTCTCTGTTGGAGGAAAGGAGGTTATTTGTTGGTGCTTGATTTATTTATTTTTTGCTCTAGATTAACCACAAATACCCAGAAAGACGACTACTTGTGGCGGAATCCTGTGGAGCATTGGCCCCTTACCTTCCTGTAAGAACTGTCATTTTTTTCTTAAAAACTTTTTTTCCTTTTAAGAGGGGCGGAGGGACAGAGAGAGAGAATCTTAAGCAGACTCCGTGTTCAGTGCAGAGCCTGATGCAGGGCTCAATCCCACTGGCATCATAACCTGAGCCAAAATCAAAAGTCGGACACTCAACCTACTGAACCACCCACGTGCCCCTACTGTTGATATCTAAGCGTGCAACAGTTTGCATTTTTATATTTGAATTTTTCTAACCCAAAATTTATCATACTGTATGTAATGTTCTTAATCCCTGACAGTAAACACTATTGACAGGTTCTTGTGTGGGTATCTATGTATTTTTTAAATTTTTCATGCTGTTAGTACCTCCACATTTTGCCTCTTTCAGCATTTGCATTTTTGACAGTGTTAAATTGCCCCAAACCAAGATAGCACAGATTTATACGCCTGTCATCAGTACCTTGGAGTTCTTATGTTCCCATACCTTCACCAGGATGGGGGTGTGGTGAAATCTTTTTTAATATTCTCCTACGTTATAGGAGAAAACTCGTGTCTTATTGTTGTGATAAATCGTATACATACATATACATGAGTAAGTTTGATCATGCTTTTATTTACTGTTCCAAGACAGATGAACATCACAAGCACAAAGGGGATAAAAAGCTGTTCTACCCTGTACTAAAAGGCATATTCACCAACCTAAATGTGACCAAACTGTGCTAAAATTATATATTTTTTTGTATCTAAGAAGTCAAAGCAAAGACTAGGTCACTTAAAAATGACTGTAGATCTTGCCCTGCATACTAAAATCACACTGTAAGTTTATGAAAATGGTCATCTTCTATCTTTATTTTATTCTAACCATTATCATTATAGGTAAACAAGTTTGGGTTTGAAGAATGTCATAAACTGATCAAATTATAATGGTGCAAAGAAGGGAAAGAAGGGGAAGAATTTGCATAATGGTTATAGCTCTTTATTTTACCTTCAGCCATTAATTAGGCTAAAACGTTCTTTAACAAAAAAAATTGTGTGAAATTAAGACACAACAATGGTTGACATTAAATAATTGCATCTGAGAATAGCAATGCAATTCCCTTTGAAGTATTTTTAAGTTTACTCCCATATTTTATCATCCTGTTTGAAGTTTTTTCTCAGTTCTGCAAAAAATAGGAACACCGGAATTTTATAATGTTTGCACACCGCAGGCTAATGTTTTGATTACCAGAGTGGTGTTTTTAATCCCTCCTGTTATTATAACTCTGAGAACTCTTCTCTGAGTTAAACAGGTAGTGTAGAAGAGTCATTGTCCATTTATAGCACAGGGTTGACTTTGTCAATTTTCCATAAGTGCTTCCTACTATGTGCTCTAGGGTTTAAAGTGGTTGCACATATTTATTGGGTGACAATACCAAATTCAGGGTAGATGTCATCTTTTTTTTTTTTAAGTTTATTTATTTTTGAGAGAGAGAGAGACAGAGCATGAGTGGTGGAGGGGCAGAGAGAGAGAGGGAGACACAGAATCAGAAGCAGGCTCCAGGCTCCGAGCTGTCCGCACAGAGCCCGGTGTGGAGCTCGAACTCACAAACTGTGAGATGGTGACCTGAGCTGAAGTCAGATGCTTAACCGACTGAGCCACGCAGGCGCCTCTAGATGTTATCTTTAGAGAGGAAGGGGGGAGGAGAGTGAAACTTAAGCTGTATCTGTAATGTTTTATGTCTTTGAAAAATGAAGACTTAAAGCAAACATAGCAAAATGCTAATGTGTGTGTATGTATGTATATATATATATATATATAATCTGGATTGTTTAATATGTGGATGTCTGTTGTATTATTTCCTATACTTTTCTGCCTCTAGTGTAAAATAAATAGTAAAAACATGTTTTTGTTTACTTTCAGAAAGAAATCCGTAGCTCCTTGGTTCTCTCAATGTTGCAACAAATGTTAATGGAAGATAAGGCGGACTTAGTAAGAGAAGCTGTGATCAAAAGCCTTGGAATCATTATGGGATACATTGATGATCCAGACAAATACCAACAGGTATGTTTTTCAGAATGAACCCCATTTACCTCATTATAAAATTCCGAATAATTTAATATTCCAGATCTCTGATTCAGCTACACAATAATCTGTAGTAGAGCTGGCAGGCATCCCAGTTTTAGCCCATTGCAGTGGGCTGCCTGGTTTTACTTCTTCAATTCAAAAGAAAGAGCACTGTAGGGGCGCCCGGGTGGCTTAGTCGGTTAAGCGTCCGACTTTCGCTCAGGTCATGATCTCGTGGTTCATGGGTTCGAGCCCCGCGTCGGGCTCTGTGCTGACAGCCAGCTCAGAGCCTGGAGCCTGTTTCAGAGTCTGTCACTCCCTCTCTCTCTGACCCTCCCCTGCTCATGCTGTCTCTCTCTCTCTCTCCTAGAAATAAATAAAACATTAAAAAAAAAAAAAAAAAGAGCACTGTGATTCATTTACAGTATCTGCCATGGTTTTGTGGCAGGAAATTGGCACAAAGCATGCTGGGTTTATCGCCATTTCTGTTTGGTTTCTACATCAGTGGATACATGACATTTTCTTTTAAAAAAATGGGAAGGATAGTATTATGGATGGCTTACTTTCTTGCTTAAAGTGTTCTCTAAACATACTACAGTGTATACTTCATTGCTTTTCATTAAGGTTGGGGGTTTTTTATTTATTTATTCTTCTGAAGATCTAAATTTTACCTGTTTCCTTTTGGCAGGGTTTTGAATTGTTGCTGTCAGCCTTGGGTGATCCCTCAGAAAGAGTAGTTAGTGCAACACATCAAGTATTTTTACCAGCCTATGCTGCCTGGACTACAGAACTTGGAAATTTACAGTCTCATCTTATACCTACATTGCTGAACAAGATAGAAAAACTTCTCAGGGTAAATGCTTTCTTTATTTAGACAGTTTATAGAAATGTAAAGAGCATGTTCTCAGTCATCTTGAAAGAACGCTGGGGAACAAAGACAGAAAGTACCACCAAGCTGAACATTCTGATAACTTGCCAGTTAAAGATTGTATTGGTCTGGAGCCAAAAGAGGTTTAAGGAAGTTCTGCTTTGCTACAGCTCAGCAAGGAAGGGCATGCTCTGGGTTTATAAGCTGAAGTAGCACCTTTGTGGAACTCACCCATACGTTATGCAGAAAGTTAGCTCTTCCTCGTGTCTTCCAAAGATTTAAGGATTGGGGTAAAATATCAGCTCCAGTTCTTGGAAGGCAGTTAACTAAAATATTAGTATCTAAGGCTTTCTTGTTTACGCGATGTCAAAATGCTTTACTTGTACTTATTTCACTGCAGTAGTTCATTTTCTCACTTCTTAAAATGAATGTTTTCTGTTTTCCCCAAGTAAAAGAAATGAAGAAAAGTTGAAAGAAAGATAGTAACTTCTTGATCTAATTTTTATACGAAAATTCCCTTTTAGAGTCTAGAAGAAAAACTAACATTTCTTTAATGTGTCTTATGTGCATCATTCTTTAGATACTTCATAAATAATATAGATTATTTCATTCTTAACAACCCTTTGAACTATATTTTGGTTTTTGGTAGCTTTGAAATATATTTTGGTATTTTGAGCATTTAGGTAGCTTGCCCAGGGCCTTAGAGCTGTCAGATGACGGAACCAGGATCTCTTTCGTTCTACCCCCAAATTTTAAAGAATTTTAAGGCTCTTAACTACTCTGTAAACAGTCTTATATGTAGTTCTTTAATTTAAAAATTGGGCTGTTTTCTCTATAAATTTCAAGTGGGTATTTAAAAAAAAAAACTATAAATAGACAAGTAGACTGGAAAGTACTCCTTTTTATGAAACCTGGGAAATTTTTTAAAGTATTTTTTAAATGTTTGTATTCCTTCTACCTGATATTTATCAATACCTTATTTTTATGAAGTTCCATTTCATAATATGGTTAATTCCATTTGCTATTAAACGTACCTGAAGTATTCAGCATAACTAGTAAGTCTTCCATGAAGAGATTAATTTAGAACTTGATCGTGTGTAACTCATATATCTGGTACCTCTGACACAGCTTTTGTAATATTAGTAACATATTTATTAGTAAACATTTTTATCTAATGATTATATTTTTCAGTTTAACAGTTGGTTTCTGTGTACCATACCAATCCTCTTACTCTTTTTTTCTTTCTGTTACCTCTTTTGTTTCCTTTCGAAATTTTTTATCCTCCATTTCATCTCTTCATTGAAGTACTTTAAAGTGCTTTAAGTGCTGCCGCATTCAGATGCCACCAAATCTGTATAAGAAGATCGGATGTGAGAGAAGGAAAATAGCAAAAGCTCTTGCTGGTTCAACAGTTGAACATTTAAAGTGATTCATGTGGGGGCGCCTGGGTGGCTTAGTCGGTTAAGCGTCCGACTTTCACTTAGGTCATGATCTCACAGTTCGTGGGTTCGAGCCCTGCGTCGGGCTCTGTGCTGACTGCCAGCTCAGAGCCTGGAGCCTGTTTCAATCCGTGACTCCCTCTCTCTCTGACCCTCCCCTGCTCACGCTGTCTCTCTCCTAGAAATAAATTTAAAAAACATTAAAAAAATAAAAAAATAAATAAAGTGATTCGTGTGGATCACTTTAATTTCTTTATCCTGACTTACAAATTTCAAAGAATAAGACCCATTTAAAAGAAAAAAAGCCTGAGGCTGCCTGGGTGGCTCTGTGGGTTAAGTATCCAACTTTGGCTCAGGTCATGTTCCTGAGTTCGAGCCCTGCATCGGGCTCTGTGCTGACAGCTCAAAGCTTGGAACCTGCTTCAGATTCTGTGTCTCCCTCTCTCTCTGCCCCTCCCCTGCTTGCGCATGCGCGCTCTCTCTCCCTCTCTCAAAAATAAACAAACATTGGGGTGGGGGGAGAAAAAAAGCCTGTAAAAGAAGTTGCATACAAATGGAAATGATTGATGTTCACCCTGAAGTTTTCTATATGAAAGATTTTATTGCTTATCGAGTGCCTTAGTGCTTCCTCACATTTTCATGTACTTAGAGAAGTTAAGAAAAGATTCATGGATATCTCCATTAGGTGTTGTGCTGAGTCTAACATACAGATTTCTTAATTGTGTCATTAATTGCCACAGAAAGGAAGAGCATTATAAATACTTAATTTCAGAAAACTAAAACTAGCTTCCACCTCCTTATGTTTCAGGAAGGCGAGCACGGGCTGGATGAACATAAGCTCCACATGTATCTTTCCGCTTTGCAGTCCTTGATCCCCTCTCTCTTTGCATTAGTGCTGCAGAATGCACCTTTCTCCAGCAAAGCCAAGCTTCATGGTGAAGTGCCACAGATAGAAGGTACTGACCTGAAATTTTGGAAGGAAGATGTAGAACATTGGCAGCTTAGCTTCCCAAGGAGTTGTTTTTGGTTAAACTTCTAAAAATTACTTTATATGAAAGCATAATTACTAAAACATGTGTGGAATTTCGTGGTCATAGATGGTAAGATAGGTAGGGTAAACTGTGGCTTCATCTTTTATGGATAAGCCTCTTAGTATGTTTTCTAATATTTGTACTTTCTTTCCATTCCTAATCAATAGTCTTTTTACAACCTTTTTTTCCGGTGGCCGAAATAAGTTTTCTTTCATTAATAGAGCTGAATTAATGAAAAGATTCACCTAATAGTTACCATTGCCAGTTTATGAAGCTTGTCATTTCCACTTTCTTTACACTTTTTCTCCCCCACCTGTTTCATCTTATTTTCAATCGGGGAAGGTAAATATAATTACTCTTTCCTACTATGTCCTCGACAGGAACGTAAGCATATGCAACAGGATGTTTTTCTCCGAAGAAGGAATATGACTTATTTTCAGAAATATGTGAAATTGATAGCAAAGGCCAGAATTTTCTTATCTCAATGTCCACCTAACCATTAAGTGACCTTTGACCCATGGCACTTAGTAACCCCACTGCACCCAATCCCTAGGATAAATGGCTGTAGACAGGCTGTTACTCTATATGAGATCCCTTTGCCGATTTCTCAAATTTGTGAAATTGTCCATGTGTCTTGCCAACTTCTGATAAACAAAAGAACGCTAACATGTCAACAGACGCTGTTTTTAGAATTCCAGTTGTCACGTAAAGTAAACTGTGGGCAGTTTACCTATAATATTTGAGATGTGAAGCAGTGTCCAAGCACAGCACAAAAATGGCATATTACATTTGAATGTCTGTTTTACTGGAAAAATTGAGAATAGATGGGGTTAATTTAATATTTTAAAATATTACTGAGGAGAAGGAAAATTCAGACTGTTACAAAAAGTCTTCATAAAGCATTCACAGCCGACTGCTTCAGGTTCCACCCCTGCATATACTAAGGTTCTTTGTCTGCCTAGGGGCTTTCCTGTCTAATTCCCACTCTTTCTCTTTGTGTCCTGCCATATTGGTGTGCTAGGGCTGCCATAATCAAATACCACAAACTGAAATCTGTTGTCCCACAGTTCTGGAACGCTCAAGGTTTCAGATCATGCTGTCAGCAGGTTTGGTTCCTTCTGATGGCTCTGAGGAAGGCGCTGTCCCATGCCTCCCTCCTCGCTTCTGGTGTTTTGCTAGCAATCTTTGTCATTCCTTGGCTTATAGACTCATCACCCCAACCTCTGCCTTCATTTTCATGTTCCGTTCTCCCTCTGTGTGTGTTGGTATGTCCAGATTTCCCCTTTTTATAAGATTGGTAATAGTAGACTAGAGGCCCGCCCTACTCCAGTATGACCTCATCTTACCTAATTACATCCACAACGACACTGTTTCCAAATAAGGTCACATTCTGAGATTAGGGCCTCAGTGTAGCAATTTTTTGGAGGGCACATAGATTAACCTATAACATTTGCTGTCATTCATTCATTCATTTATAAAACTAACTCTTGAATGTTACCTGATGCCAAGCTTGTGCTTGGGATTAGATGAAACTTGTCAAAACAACTGCTTTACCATCCTGTATATATTTCTTCCAGTGTTTATGTGACCTTTCCTTGTGATTATGTCTTCATCATACCAAAAGTAACCTTCCCTTTATAATTCTTCTAGACTGAATATGACTCTCTGACTTTTAACGGCAGCCATAATTGTTAATGTTATTATACCCACTTCTTGGTTATAAATTATTTATTTTAAATGAGAAAATATTATATTCTTATTTAGGGTCTATACATCCATGTCTGTATGTCTACCTATATATACATCCCTCTATTTGGGATATAATTCATTCTAAGTGAAGATTTATTTTCTCTTAAATAATAGAAACACAAATATTTTTATTGCCAATTTATTCTACAGCAGTAGCTAATATTTATGCCAGGCACTATTCTAAACACTTGAGATACATTCATGAATAAAATAGACACAACTTTCTGCTTTCAGAGAGCTTACATTCTAATGAGAGGGGAATACACTAAAGAGTCATAACAGCTGTTACTTTGGGATAATTGTGATTGTTTTATTGACAGTAAAATGCTGGTATTTTGCTATCCTATTAAAATGACGTTCTGGGGACCTTTCTGTAGTTCTATAGTGTTAAAAATCCTGTTAAAAAGAACAATGTTTCTTGAACCATTCTGTTTACTTACCTGTAATAATTGAGTTACCCAAATAATTGCTTATTTTTTGACATTATTTTGCTTCTGTTGGACCTACCTTTAAATCTTTAGACCTCACTTTCCCTGTAGTTAATCTTGACACATCTATTTTACTTTAAACTGTTCTATTATTTTTCAATAGCTTATTAGTATTAATGAAGGAATGACATTCATCCTATCATAGTACAGCAGATTGTGACAAGTATTCTATAACCCGGTTTGAAATTAAATCAGATATCCTTTGACATGATACATTTCTATAAGAAGGACAAATATCTTTCGCAATCCAAATCTGTTTATTCCTGGATTGAGATACAGTGAGGATTCAAGCAGAAACCTCAGATAGTGAGAGATACCATGTTACCCAAACTCATTTATTTGTTGGTTGGTGTATTATGATAGCAAATAGGAGAGTTCAACTAGCAAGGGGGTGACCTTTATCTGTCTTTAATATATTGTTAAAAGACTTGGGCAGTATATAGAGACAATAACATCTTAATTTTGTTTTTGAACATTTTAAAAATTATGTGAATTTATGTTTTCTTAAGTTTAATAATAATTATTAAGCCATTAACATGTTTTGAGAAAATTATGTATTTTTGCATCTTTTAGGATATTAGCCTCTATGCAGGAGTTGTTGGGCAATTAGGGGTTTCTAAGAGTTAATGAGGTGTTGGCATATGTTATCCATTTAATAGCCATCAAGAAGTGTTCTCTATTTCATTGACATAAATAGTCTGGTGGAATTACAAGTATTTCTTTTTTTTTCTTTTAATCAAATTCAAATCCATGTTTCAGCTAACATCTTATCTTTGGGCCAACTTTAATTTAACCTAAATGAATTCACTCTTCATTAGCAAACTATTTCATTACAGTATCCATTTATTAACTATTTAGTCTCCTAAAATCATTTTTCAGATGTGTTCAGTTTGTTCACATGTGACAAGAATTTGTTTCATTTTTTAAAAAAATGTTTTGATTAATATCTTTCAGTTTTCTAAAGTTTATCATAAGCAATAAAATATCAGGAGACAATCTTATTTGCCTTCTCACAGACTAGTTAGCTTCACAAACTGCCATTTTCACATTATTTGTTTTGTTTCCATTATTTATAGTGACTAGGTTCCCTCGGCCTATGTCGCCTCTTCAAGATGTGTCTACTATAATTGGAAGTCGTGAGCAATTGGCAGTGCTCCTACAACTTTATGATTACCAGCTGGAACACGAGGGTACAACAGGCTGGGAGACTTTACTGTGGGTTGTCAATCAATTGTAAGTTACCGCCTCCATATTCATGTGGTACGCCTCCAACAGTCGATGGAAGATAGCTCACTGTGTTTAGCTTTGGCACTGAGGGACAAAATACAACAGAATCTAAAAAATGTAATAAAACATAACTTGGCATTATCTGTGGTAAACTTCTTAAGGAGAGGAGATTTATACCACTGGATACGTAGGTATTTATCTGTAAGGATGGTGCTGCCGGATTATATCAAAAGGACCTGTCTGCTGCCTTGTTGTCTGATAGTGTGATGGATTTTAACTACATCTTGATTGTCATTTCTGAAGCTAACATGGATGCCTTGTTAGCCAGGCTCTTGTGTGAAGCATCAAATCCAGTGATTTGTGTCTCATTAACTCCATAGTAAAAACTCTGCCGTTAAGGTTCCATATATTTTATGGCAAGCAGTTAAAATTTAAGAAGTTTATAGAGTAGAATATAAATTTAAAATCTTTTCAGAGCATCTCAAACCACTCCTTTGATTTGCAATTTTACCGGCTGTGAAAAGCGAAACAATAGGTTGTTAGATTTGCATTGTGCAGACATTGGCAAGGAAACAGTAATTCATATGTATCCCCTGCCTATTTTTCTTTCCTTTCACATTCAGGTTGCCACAACTTATAGAAATAGTTGGCAAAATTAACGTTACTTCAACTGCCTGTGTCCATGAATTCTCCAGATTTTTCTGGCGCCTTTGCCGGACATTTGGCAAAATTTTTACAAACACTAAGGTAAAAATTTGTATTCCATATTTTCTTATATGCAAGAGATAGAGAAATGTAATGTGTTAATTAATGCTGTAACAGATTAAATAAAAGCATGAACTTTACCTTTTAATATCTTAGAAAGCTATGATAGTAAAAGAAAATTCTAGTCAGTAATATTCTTACCTTTATTTGTTTTTAGATGATTTAGCCTAAACTTAGTTGTATCCAGACTTGGATATAACATCTACACACTAGATTTCTTAAAGATTTCCAGCATAGGCCATATCAGGGGACTCCACTGATTCTTTGATGCACTTCTACTGCCTTAGCACCCACCACACGTTCAGGAAACAGCTGTTTGCTCAGCACACTTTGTTCAAAGCCCCAGGCGACTGTGGAACCAACATAGCCTCTATCGAAGACTTGCTGCCAGACCAGCTCTTCGAATAGCGTGGACACTTGAGATTCATGCTGCATATTTCAGTCACTACCAAAACTAGTGTTTGTCACATCTGCATATCCAGGTTATTTTACAGTTTTGGATACTACAGTTGGAATGTCCTTAGATCCCAGTTTCATCTTTAATCCCTTTGTCTTGCTAGCATATTGTCAAGGCAGTTCTTTAGAGAGGTAGTAAAAACATAAAGATACAATTGTTATAATCAAATGCTAATCAAGAGGTTTAAAAGGTAAGAATTTTGTGCAGCTCTTTACTATTAACTATTACTTTGTAGTTATCTAAACATTTAAAGCAAAATAGTTTGGTACAGGAGACTGGATAAAATTCAGAAAATTAGTTATAATCCTATTATGTTTGTGACCTATAACAATTAAGTTATCTGGGCTTAGCCTTGGCATGCGTGAACTGAAGAAGTTACTTCAGTGTCTTTTTGTTCTCTAAGTATGATGCTGCAGATTAATCTTCTAACTGTGGGCTCCCCTCCGTTTAAGTTCTTATGCCTGACCTGTCGCTAGGAGGCCAAACACTTAGACCTTGATGCTACTGTAGAAGAAGCCAGATCATTTTATATTTTTCACTAACATCTAATTATTAAATATAATTTGATTTTATGGTTATCAACATTGGCAAAAATTGTTTGACATCTCCAAAAGAAGTAGCTATTATAAAAAAAAAGTAAGTAGGAGTTCACTTGAATACTTAATCAGTACATGGTTGACTTCAGTGCCCTGAAATCTGTGATAATGTTAAAAATAAAAAATTGAAGTAAGCATTTAAGAGCTTAAAAAATTATAGGTAAATTCTGTATTTGATGCTTAAATTTCAATTTTAAGGAAGTTAAAATTTAAGCAGATGGATATTACATGATGAATATGTTACTTATTGAATACCTTAAACGAATGGAATTTCTTATTCATTCCTTTTAAATACAGCAAAGTTTTAAAAAGCATATCTAATAATATAATATTTACCTAAATAATCTTTCTATCATGAATTTTTAAGATGTAATAATTTCAAGCACGTGAAGTCATCTTGGAAATTATTTTAATTTAGTGAAAGAAACCAAAGACTTCAGAAAATACCTGCTGACTTGAATTGATTTTGAAAATATTTTCTCTCTAAAAGTGTTGTTTTTAGTCAAAACTTGTCAAAACAAGTCAAAAACTTGACTCTTTTTTTATTTTAAGCCTCTTATGAATTGTTATATCTCCTGGGCTCCTGGGTAGCTCAGTTGGTTTAGTGTCCAATTCTTGATTTCGGCTCAGGTCATATTCTCACAGTTCGTGAGATCGAGCCCTACATCAGGTGCCATGCTGACAGCTCCTGCGTGCATTTGCACTCTCAAAATAAATAACCTTAAAAAAAAAAAGAAATTGTTATATTTCTGATTACTTAAATGGTCCATAAAGCAGAGTGAATGATGAATGAATGAATGAATGAATGAATGAATGAATGTAGTAGTAGCAGTAGTAAGCATTTTATTTAATTTTCAATTGATCCATTGGACTGAAACTTTTTGGATCTTTTCTTTGGGTTGCTTTAGGTCAAACCTCAGTTCCAGGAGATTTTAAGACTGTCTGAAGAAAACATTGGTAAGTTCATTTGTTATTAGTTTTTTTTTTTAATTTAATTTTAATTTTTTTAACATTTATTTTTGAGAGAGAGAAAGACATGGAGTGCAAGCAGGGGATGGACATAAAGAGAGGGTGACACAGAACCTGAACTGTCAGCACTGAGCCTGATGCAGGACTCAAACGCACAAGCTGTATGACCATGACCTGAGCCAAACTCAGACGTCCAACCAACTGAGCTACCCAGGCGCCCCCATTTGTTATTACTTTTAAAAACAATTGAATCTCTTTACTCAGGAAAAATACTATGCCCATTGTGTGCAAATTGTATAAATGAACTAGCAAGTACAGTGAAAAGGCAAATTCATTTCTTGGTTTTATAAATTTGATTATAAATATCTACCTCCCTTGCAATTAAATTGACCTAAGGCGAAGTTTCTCAAACTGAGTACTTGTACCCTTGTAGGTTTGAAATAGTATATTCACAATACAGAAAATTATAAAATAATGGATCTCTAATTCATAATTAGTTATTTAGAATTTTTAAAATGAAATAAAATATAGTGGAAGAGAATGTAAGATGTGCGTATGGTTTTAAAATGAAACTACATGCTTAAGGGGCACCTGGGTAGTTCAGTCAGTTAAGTTCTTGGTTTCAGTTCAGGTCATGATCTCATGGCCATCAGATCTAGCCCCACTGATAGTGCAGAACCTGCTTGGGATCTTCTCTGCCTCTCTCTGCCCTTCCCCCACATGCATGCATGCGTGCACGCACTCTCAAAATAAAAAAATTAAAAAAAACTCATACTTGAATGGGCAGTTCAAGTCCCTCTGTTGATAGCTTTCACTCCTCTGTCTTAAGAAGTCTACTTAGAGCGCCATTGACCTAAAAACTTGTTTCTTTGTGGATCTTAACTTCCCGTGTATTTTTCTAGTCTCTACAAATAAATTATAGAAAGTGTTAGAAAGACAAATATATAGCCCTCCTTTTTTTTTCTTTTTTACTTGGTCAGTTTTGGACATATAGGTAATTCTTAATCACTGTCCTACCTTAGAGGTTTCTAGTAATCTAGAAAACCTATCTTGAGCTGTCCTCAGAGATTGTTAGAGATGAATGAATAAATCTTTTCCTTTTAAGTTTGAAATATGATGAGATCTTTTTTGATCAGTGCTTCCCAAGGGTTAATGTTGATATATTTTCAAGGGTTAATGTTGATATATTTTCAAGGGTTAATGTTGATATATTTTCAAGAGTTAATGTTTAGAATGCCTAAAAGTTGGTATTATCTGTTTAGTTATTCTAATGATAAATTAGTAAAGAATATTTACATATTTTAAAAACTGACGGTTTTTAGAATTATTAGTTAGCTCTGAGAATCTAGTTTTTCATGTAGGAAGAGATTACTAATCCCTGTATATATAGTTTATATCTATGAATCCAACTTAAGCCTGTATTCCTAAGCTCAGACCTAACTCTCAACTACTATCGTCACATTCAACCAGTATCAGTACTCCCCCAAAGAAAAAATTACTCTTACTAAAAGCATAAACAAATCTCAAGTACTAATTGATGTGAAAATGGAACTTTCTTTTTTGCTACAATTTCTTCAGGGCGGTTAGTTAAATTTTTTTTATGTACTATTTTCTGAAAAGAATTTCAAGCCATACAAAAATAGGAAAAAAGTAAGTAAAAATTTGGGGATACATAAGAGCAAATATAAAGCACTTAAAATCGTGCTTAAAGAACAATAAACGAGCTATTGTTGCTATAAATAATGTCATGTCATCTCTAGAATTTCTTTTTTGAAATCATCTACAGATGATTTTACAGTAGTAATCACAGGGTACTGATCCTGTGCTGGAGTGCTTGCCTCTCTTCTGCCACTTCACTTCGCCTCCATTTTCCCAGCAAAAAGTCAGGGTCATCCGGCTGAAAATTCCTACGGAGGATGCAGGAGCGGCTCTGGAACTAGACTAGTACTAGAAACTAGGTGTGTCTCATATCTGGAAGCAGATTAAATAATATATATCCAGGTGCCTCCTTTTAACTCAGTGTCTTTACTTTTTACTGAATACTGTAGATTGAAAGCATAAAAATTTAAGACCCGCTTGTACAGACTGGCACTTGGGAGACTTCAAGAAAGCTCTAATTTCTGAGTATGGAAATGAGAGTTTAGCATCTCGTTTTAGTTATTAGAGCTCTTTCCCATCTATCAAAAATGTTTATGCTAATGGTTTTATAAAAAGTATTATCTGTATTTTTACAACAATTAGGATATGTATTTTAATCAAAATTATTTTCCAAAGTAATAATAATATGCATGTGTAAGCCTTATAACCAGTTGGAATTTTAAATATAATTTGCATTGTGACTTTTTGCTTTACACTTAAAATACTGCAGATTTCTAAAATTATTTTAATGATTTTAGATTCCTCAGCAGGAAATGGTGTCCTCACTAAAGCTACTGTCCCTATTTATGCAACAGGAGTCCTTACGTGTTATATTCAGGTAAGGGAAAAGTCCTATTACTAGAAAATGGAAAAGCACTTTCTCTTTAGAAACATATATAATATTATGCTTTTATATTATAAAAGTAATATGTATTAACAATTGCCCATAAAGGAAAACAAAATTTATATATCTGTTTTATTCAAGAAGTAATTTATAGTGTAGAGCATATTTTAATAAGTCTTCATTGAACAAATCTTGAACAAATAAATTTAGAGATTCTGTGCTTCTTGATATTTTGTTAGAAGCATTAGATTATGCTTAGCAAAGTTTCATTGTCTCATTAATTTTTCATAAATAAATAGCAAATAAAGCACATGTATTAGGTGGAGTAAACTACAAAATGCTGTAGAATACTATACCGTATCATTTTTAGCAAAAAATTTTTAATAATGCCTTATGTTTCATAATTGCTACTGCATAATAAATTACCCTAAAACAATGGCTTATTGTAACATTTTTATTTGCTCATGGACTTTGCTCAACTCGGCCTCTCTTTTGTGGCCTTGCGGGTGGTCAGTCACTCATGTTGCATTCAAGCTTTTGGTTGGAAGGGAGGTCAGCGAGGCTGACTGAGCATCAGTCTCCGTGTATTCTTAGGGCTTCTCTCTCTCCCACGGGGCCTCTGGAGCAGCACAGCCAGACTTACTACATGTGGCTCAGGGTTCCTCAGAGCTCAGAAACAGCACCTGCTAGCCTAAAACTTAGGCTTGGAGTTTGCACATCACTCTGTTGCCTTCACTTAGTTAAAGCAAGTTACAGGCCCAGCCCAGATTCCAGAAGAGGGCACGAACCAAAGTGTGAGCCAGGAGGTATGGTTCATTGGTGGTCACCAATACAACAAACTACCACATTCTACTTACCATTGTTTTAAGGAAACAACACATGGTGTATATTAAGGTATATCAGTCATTTTCAAGTGTGAGACAGCCCCACCAATAAGGTCAAAGTATGGATTCAGGATAAAGCATTTTTAGAAATTGGAATGTGAGGGACACCTGGCCGGCTCAGTCGGTTAAGCATCCAACTCTAGATCTCAGTTCAGGCCATGATCTCATAGTCCATGAGCTCGAGCCTAAAATCAGGCCTACAGTGCAGAGTCTGCTTAGGATTCTTTCTCTCCCCCTCTCTCTACCCCTCCCCTGCTTGCTCTCTCTCTCTCTCTCTCTCTCTCTCTCCCCCTGTCAAAATAAATAAACATTTTTTAAAAATTAGAAATTAGAATGTGAGGGGCACCTGGCTGGCTCAGTAGGTAGAGCATGTAACTCTTGATCTCAGGGTCATGAGTTCGAGCCCCACATTGGGTGTAGAGATTACTTAAAAAAATAATAATAGGGGTGCCCTGGGTGGCTCAGTCGGTTAAGTGTCCGACTTCAGCTCACGTTATAATCTCACATTCTGTGGGTTAAAGCTCTGCGTCGGGCTCTGTGCTGACCACTCAGAGCCTGGAGCCTGCTTCAGATCCTGTGTCTCCCTCTCTCTCTGCCCCTCCCCCGCTTGCTCTCTGTCTCTATCTCTCAAAATAAAGACATTAAAAAAATTTTTTTTAATAATAATAATAAAAATGAATAGAGTTTAGAATTAAGAGTCAAAAAGGAGGACCTTTTTTCCTGGGTTTTCCCCCATTAATACCTAACATTTCTTTTGCCCTTTGAATTCAAAGCATAATTCATATTTATTACACTCTTCTTCCAAAACAGATTTAAGCCATCTTACAGATTTTTTTAAAATAGTTTATTGTCAAGTTGGTTTCCACAGCCATCTTACAGTTTTAAAATATGGTCCTACAGTATCACATACCTTTCAACAGAAACTCCAGTTCTGTTAAAGTAGCACAGTATTCCTTTAAACTTTTCTACACTGGTTTCAAAGACTGCCTCATAATATGAATATACACACAATCCTTATGTGTAGGGTATTTTAAGTCATGTAACTTTAATAGATTGTCTCTATTGTTCATAAACTCGTGGAGATTAAATCCTAGCATATTGCCAGGCACAATAGTATGCATACCATTTTCCACTCTCTTTAAAAGAGAAAAAGAGCTGAAAAGCTGTTAGTCGAAAACTATTTTGTATTTAGTCGAAAACTATTTTGAATCAAATACATTTTTTATCTTGAGATTTCAAAAATGAGAAATAGGATTGTGCTAAATTTTCAGATTAGAAGAATCTATGCTCATTTGGAAGTATATTCCATAGCTCTTATTTCACACTTTAGGTTTTTCAGATTGACAGCTTGTTTTCCAATTTTATGTATACTTTGTGTTTGACATAGTAGGCAACTAAAATTGGGTAAAGTGTTTGTTCCAACATTGCTCTGATGCTGGTTAGTCAGTGTCCTAAGCTTTACGTTAAGTAGACTGTCATGTTCTAAAACTGCTCTGACAGTGTTCATGCTGATCATTACTTTTGTCGATCCTTTATTCATTCTGTTGTTTTTAATCCTTTATTCATTCTAAATGAACCTGATTATGTAGAAAAAAATGATTGGTGGCAATCCAGTATTCTTCATAGATGTATTTGTTATTATTAATGCAGAAGCTATTTATTGTTGACCTAATACATCCCTAATGACAAAAACCTTAACTCTAATTTATTATATATTTATTTCCTGATAGAATGTCAGATTCCCTTCCTTTATAGACTCAGGTTAATTTAACATACAAAGTTATTTTTTAACTTTCTTAGTTTAGCAGACTTATTTTTTACAATATATTTAATAGAGTACAATATAAGAAAAAAGAAAAAACTTTTCTGATTATGAAAATAATGGGGTTTTTTTAATGTTTACTTATTTTTGAGACAGAGCATGTGCAGGGGAGGGGCAGAGAGAGAAGGTGACACAGAATCTGAAGCAGGCTTCAGGCTCTGAGCTGTCAGCACACCTGAGCCAAAGTCAGATACTCAGCCGACTAAGCCACCCAGGTGCCTCTGAAAATATGGTTTATTAAAGAAAGTTTGAAAATACAGATTATTTTGTAATCAAGGATATAACTGCAAACAGAAAGGGAGGCAAACCCATAAGACACTCTTAAATACAGAGAACAAGCAGGGTTGGTTAGGGGTGCAGGGGAGGAGGGAAATGGGTGATGGCCCTGAGGAGGGCACTTTTGGGGAAGAGCATTGGGTGCTGTTATGTAAGTGATGAATCACGGGGCATCTACCCTCGAAACCAGGAGCGCACTGTATACAATATATGTTAGCTAACTTGACATAAATTACATTAAAAATAAAAATTTTAAAAAAGATACAGGAAAAAAAGAACACAATACTTTGTATTTCAAGAAGCATGTAGCTTCTCACCACTAATATGTTGCAAAGATAGTTTCTTGGAAATGATTTTCTGCTAGGGGGATAGCTTTTACTAGTTTTAAGTATTTAGTCCCAAAATTAGTGGGAACTAAAATTTATAAAAATAAATTTTAATAAAAGAATATACCTTTTCACTTTCTAAAGCAGGATTGTCTAGTAAAACTTTCTGCAACAGCGTACATAATCTGTATCTGAGCTGTCCGATGTGGGAGCCACTAGCCACCAGTGGCCATTAAGCACTTAAATTGTAGCTAGTGCTACTAAGGAACTGAATCTTTTATTGTACTTAATTTTTAATTCTGCATGTGCTGAGTGGCTACCACAATGAATAGCACAGGTCTAAGAATCTATGAATCAAGATAGTCTTTGTCCTTTTACCATTGTGATCATAGATAGATATGTTTAATAAATCTCTTTAATTAAAATGCTTCTGAGACTAGATATGTCCCCATATTTGGCAAGACTTTCTAGTTGTAGGCAGGAAATTAGTATTGCTTTTCTACCTGATTGCTTGGAAATTCATTATCAGTCTTTATCCTCTATAGGAAGAAGACCGAAAACTATTAGTGGGATTCTTAGAAGATGTAATGACCCTGCTTTCATTATCGCATGCTCCTCTTGATAGTTTGAAGGCTTCTTTCGTGGAACTGGGGTAAAATTAATAGCTTATATTTGGTTTTTAATTCATATAAAGTTTTAAAATTGTATTCATAGAGTACATAGTTTGAGTCAAAAAATATTGGCACCCATACCAAATCTTTTGGTTTTGAGGCCTACGAAGTTTTTTTAGTTTTTGGTTTGGTTTTTGGTTTTGCTTATTTGTACATTCTCAATATTTTATAATCAACAAATTGTAATAAAAGAGTGGGAGAAATAGTACAGACATATGTTTTCTTTGAAGCAGTTGAAGAAATAAAGTTCAGATTTGAAGAAAATTTAGTTTCACCAAACTGAAAAAGGAGCCCCAAGTGAAAGTTCATTAAGCCCCTTTTCCCTTTCCGTTGCCTGAACCTGCTCATAATCACATCATCTAGCTGTTAATGTCGTTTTATCTGTGTCTTTATTGCAAACAGGCTTCGGCACTTATTAACAACACAGTCTTGCATTTGGGTAGGCTTCACAACCAACTTCTTCCATTTTGGTGATTTGAGTTCATCTGATTAGATCCTACAATAAACATATGACATAAATAGGACAAGTATTGCTTCTCCAATTTGTATACATGCAGAAATTAAGACCCACAGAGATTGTAACTTACCCATCTGATTCTTAGTCCAGTGCTCTTTCTTTTTTTCCTCCTAGGCAAATTTCTTATAATTTTAACTTGAATGCTATTAAACGGTTGAGATTTCTATCAGAATTGCAAATGTTTACAGAACCTAAAAGTATAATTCCTGAATATGCTAAAAGTTTGTGTCTTTGTAAGGTGACTTCCTTTTTTAAAGAATCTTGGACGTAACCTGTTAAACCATTCAGAGTAATTTCATATGTTTTGCCAGTATTTTTATCATTACTGTTACTTACAAATGTAGTATTTGTCAATACATCAGTAAGACACTGTGGCCCTCACTTTTTTTTTCCCCTTTCAGTGCAAATCCAGCCTACCATGAGTTATTATTAACTGTTTTATGGTATGGTGTTGTCCATACTTCAGCACTTGTGAGATGTACCGCTGCTAGAATGTTTGAGGTATGTAAACAAATGCTTCTCTCATTTCTGATTATAATGATTTTCTTTGGAAGATGGAGAAGGGAATGGTGTTTTTTTTTTAAAGGCTTTGCATGCTGTGTTATGTTGATGTATATTTTATGGCATTGAACAATATCTAGTTGTGCACTGTGTGATGGGGCAGAAATTTAGCTTTGATATACTTAAGAATATTTAAATATTGGTTAATTGGATATTATTAGTCCCTTGGATGTTATTCTCAGTTCTACTTCTTAAATTTTCTTTTAAATCTTATTTTAATTTCCATCTCATATAAATCTTTCCTGACTATACTTTTCTATTTATTGAGATAAAATGGCCACTGAAATAAACTAAAACAATATAAGACATATTTAAAGATGTAAAATACAGTTGGATTCATGCATAACTTTAAAAAATCAATTATTGGAAATATGGGAATACTTACTTTGTTGATTACTTCTACTTGATTATTTCCTCACAAATCATGTCTGGAATAACATCCCTATACATTAACTGCCTGTAGACTTAGTAAGAGAGAAGAGACTGTTCATGTAATTTAGCTGGATTTTCTTAAGTTGCCACCTACCCAAGTTATATGAAAATTGAAATGCCTATCTTTTGAAAATCAAAATACTTATCATAAAGGAAATTATACCATAGCTTACTTTATTCGTTCATTCATTCATTCATTCATTCATTTATTGATTGACTGGTTAATTTTTCTAGAACTTGTATTTGAAGACAAAAATTGATAAAGAGTGTTCTTCCTGCTCTGGAGTCTTGCCATATTGCCTGACTGCCTGGGTTCAGTATCTGTCTCTGCCACATCATGGCAAGTTCAAACTTCCCTGTGCCTTAGTTTCCTCATCTACAAAATGAAGATGATAATAATTATCCATCTCAAAGGATTTTTGCTAATATGAAATGAATTAATACTAGTAAAGCCCTTAAAACAGCATCTGGCATGTAAGAACTTAATAAATGTTAGGTATCGTTACATTATTTTTTTTAGAGAACATATATTTATCTAGGCTAAAATTATCCCTAATATGCCTGTGATTCTTAAAATATCTTAAAGCATTCATTTTTGTAAAAAGAATTGGATAATTCAGTTCTTTGGATAATTCAGTTCTTCCTGAATTTCAGAATTTTTCCACAATTTAAGATAAATTGCTATTTGAAGAATAGAACACTGGTATGTTTAAAATATGGATCTTCTAAAACTTTTAAATATACAAAATGGATGTGTGAAATGTAAAGAAAACATAACATCCTCTGTCCATGTTACTCCTTCAGTTATTGTACATAATTTGATTTAAAAAACTACAGTCAAGTAGTTCCACTTTGTCAAGGTGAATACCAAATTTAAAATTCAGATTGATCTGTAGTATAAGTTCCTGTGGGTATAAATAATTTTTGATTATTCAGTATGCTGAAGAGTCATCCGTGAAAGAAAAATCCATCCTTTTATACAAAGAACTATGTCTTTAATATACTATCTTCATAGGATTTTATTCTAAGACCCTAAAAGCTACTTCTTTCTCTTAAACCATTTGTTTCTCAAATTACGTATCACTGGTAAAGCATACCATATAAATGAAAATAATTTAAATAAAATGAAACATCCTCTCTTTTTATTTGTTTTTGGGCTCTTTCTGCCTTATTTCTTATATGTGGCTTTTGTCTGGTTTTGGTTTCTATGTTTGCAGTCAGCGCTGGTTTGGAAACTATACCTGTGCTTCGGCAGTTTTCAGTGTTCTTTCAGGTTGATTATGAACTTGAGTCCAATGAGAGAATTATTTCAATATTTTTTCAACTCATTTGTGATCAAAAAAATTTTTTTTCAGTGATCATGCCAGTATAACTCATCAGTAGAAAAAATTAAAGTTACTTTTTTTTGTCAGTGACTCTTACGTTGAGGAAAACTGTATTAAAAAATAAGTATGTTTCATAAGATTTTTTTATACTAATACATTATAATTTACATTTGTGCCCATCTCCCCCCCCACACCCCCTGCCCAAATGAGTTAATTCAAAATAAAAACATAAAAAGCAAAACATTTAGGGGCACCTGGGTGGCTCATTCAGTTGAGCATCTGACTTCAGCTCAGGGCCTGATCTCATGGTTCGTGAGTTCAAACCCTGCATCAGGCTCGTTGCTGTCCATGCAGAGCCTGCTTTGGATCAACTGTCCTCCTCTCTCTTCTCTCCTCCCCTACTTCCACTCTCTCTCAAAAATAAAAATTAAAAAAGAAAGGATATTTATAATAAAAGGGAAATTTTAATGTGAGACCAGAAACTATTGGGAAGAAAGCCAGAAATGGATCTACCAGGAACATAACATGAGATACTTAGTAGAACTGAACACTAAATATAGCTCTAAGTTTGCAGACAGTGGGACACAAAGGACAAACCCAGTTAGTCATATTACTTCCCTTGTTAAATAAGAGGCAGTGTATCACTTTTTGAAGTGATAGGTTGTTGTTGAAATTGATTTGTAAGGAAACTTTATCATGTGACATAATGGATTTCCTAAAGATGCCGAGAAGCACTTCATAAAATGATTTCTGCTCTCAGTCATACAGAAGCTAAGCCTGTAACAATAGGCCAACTCAGAGAAGGCGTGGGCTCATGAGACAAATGTGAGTCCTTTTTCTAACTCGGCTTCTTATTGCCTCTCAAACCCTGAACAGGTTATTTAACTTGTTCTCCAAGGCTCAGTTTCTTCTTCAGCTGTTAAAACTTTGATAACAATTGTACTTAGCTCATCAGGTTTAAAGAGCAAGTGATATATTGTACATGAAGTGTATAACAATTGATAACTCTTAAATTTTGCGTTTTGATTTTCTAGCTTAATAAAGAAATCACACTTAAAACTGCACAGCGATGAAAAATCAACTTGCCCCCGAGAATATCTTTTTAATGCTTTTTGGCTGGCACAAGGTAGCAGACATTTTAAGATACACTTTACTGATTCAGGTCTAAGCTATCTTATTTGTAAAAAGGTACAGAGAAGAAAGTTTTATTTAACAGTATTTGAACTTCTTTCCCCTATTTATTTCTTTTTTTTTTAATGTAGACCTTTTTTTTTTTTTAATGTTTTATTTATTTCTGAGAGACAAAGAGAGACTGCATAAGCAAGGGAGGGTCAGAGAGAAAGGGAGACACAGAATCTGAAGCAGGCTCCAGGCTCTGAGCTAGCTGTCAGCACAGAGCACGACGCGGGGCTCGAACCCACGAGCTGTGAGATCATGACCTGAGCCGAAGTCAGATGCCCAACCGACTGAGCCACCCAGGCACCCCTCCCCTATTTATTTCTGCCTGACATCTGGAATGTTTAAGGTAGTAGCAGAAGTTCTTTTGTCATTTGATTCCAGCCTAATTATCCATGTATTTTTATAAAATTTATTTTGGAATATTGAAGTAGATTTTAAAGGGAATTAGTTGTTAAATGGTAACCGATTATTGTAAAATTAAGAATCTTCACGTAAGGTGAGCCCTGCTGTCTCTGAGAGGGCGTGTGGGAAGAATGTGTTAACGTGCACACAGTGTTGGGTTTTTGTTGCCAAAAATTCCATGGCATCTTCCATCTTCTGTGAGGCCTAGTTCCATTGCAAGTTGACCAGATTGATAAGCATTCAGAAGGAATTTGTTTTTGGGGCGCCTGGGTGGCTCAGTTGTTTAAATATAGGAGTAATTTGTTTTTACATTCTGAAATTGAGAATGTAGCATTAGGATGCTGCTTTTTTTATATATATATAATTTTGTTTAATGTTTATTTGAGAGAGAGAATACACATGAGCAGAAGAAGGGGCAGAATGAGAGGAGAGAAAGAATCCCTAGCAGGTTCCATGCTGTCAACTCACAGAGCCCTTTGCGGGTCTTGATTTCCCCAACCAAGCCAAAATCAAGAGTTGATGCTTAACTGACTGAGCCACTGGGCGTCCCAGGATGTTGCCCTTTTATTTTTATTTTTATTTTTTTAATTTTTTTAATGTTTTATTTATTTCTAGGAGAGAGAGAGAGAGACAACGTGAGCAGGGGAGGGTCAGAGAGAGAGAGAGAGTCACAGACTGAAACAGGCTCCAGGCTCTGAGCTGGCAGTCAGCACAGAGCCCAACGCGGGGCTCGAACCCACGAACCGCGAGATCATGACCTAAGCGAAAGTCAGACGCTTAACCGACTAAGCCACCCAGGCGCCCCAGATGTTGCCCTTTTAAAAACAAAGTGTGTAATGCTCAATACTGTCCTCCTCTTCTAGATTTAGGGTTGGTTGCTAAATGAATTATTTTACCATGAGATTATAGAAATAGGTTTAATTGTGCTGATCATATTTATTTTCTTATTTGAGCTTTTAGAGAAATGTTAAACAATAAATTGTAAATGCTAACTACTTAGACCACCCAAAACAGTTTTCCAATCAATAATTTATTTTTTCAAATATATCATAAATCTCACATCCTTGTAGTACTCATAATAATTAAACTCACATTTCTTGAATGGCTAATCTTTGTCAGACACAATATTTAGGCATATTTGTATAGTTAGTATAACAATGATCCTTTAAGTCAGATAACAGTATCACCATTTTCAGATGAGAAAAGTATCACCATTTTCAGATGAGAAAACTGAGCTTTAAGAGAGTATGCATCTAAGGCCACGTGGCTAATAAGTGGAGAGCTAGAGTCTGAACCCAGATGGAAGTCTTCCCACATGGAAGACTTTCTGCTAGGCTGCATTAGGTGTCTTTGTGTCTCAGAACAGAAGGCTATGTGATGTAAAAGGTTGGGAGTTTTCCCGTGATTTTTAAGTTGACTTGCCATAGAACAATCAGAAGCAGTGTAGTGGCGGCTGCTGGCCATTTGAGTTTGGTTTAAAAACAGTCCAGTTTGTACCTGGTTGGTCATAATAAAAGGACACCAGATTTTCTTCAAGAATTTTAACTCTAGAACCCAGTATATATCTTCTTTTTATCCAGAAAGAAAGGCTTTCTTTTAAATTGCTTTTTAATTGAACATGGAAATTGTATGACGACTTTGACCAAAAGTACAAACCGCCATTGAATTGGTGACAAACTTGTTTTTGTGGACTGCTAGCCTACTTAAGCTTTGTTTTCCTCCTAAGCATTCTCTCCCTTTATTAAAGCGCTCTAGTAGCAATATTTGCTTAGCGTCTAATTTTGGTTTTGCTCTTGTGTTTTCTCTTTCTCTTGGTTGTTCCTTTCCTCTTCCCGCGGCACTGTGTTTGCTCTTTCCGTGCATCACCTGTGAATCCCCCCTGCGCCGACCAATCAGCTGTTGGTGAAGGGGGTAAATGAAACTCTGGTAGCTCAGAGGGTTGTTCCTGCTCTCATTACTCTCTCCAGTGACCCTGAAATGTAAGTGTCATCCCTGCCTTTTACGTTCAGCATCCCTTTCAAAATGTGCCTATCAAGAAATAACCATCAGCTTTTAAATTCATCGAAGAATGGGTTTTTCTCTTCAAAATAATAATATTGGATTATGTTCACTTGATTTTAAACTTCATTATACTGTTTACGTATCCTTTTTTTTTTAAGTCAGCCTTCACATTTGGAGGCCATGTATTGAAAAGAATTAATCGTGTTCTCAGTAAACCTTTACAAAACTTAAAATATGCTGATGGACTATTTCTTCCAAGCCGAGAAAGGATGCTCTGCTAATCTCACTAACATGTTGTTACCAGTAAGTATAGTGGCATGAACCAGAGGCTTAACGTTTTAATGTCTCGTATGGGTGACTAACCCAAGAAAGACCAATGAGTCTGCCTGCCCATCCTCAGTCACAGCTAACCCAGTTCTCATTCCAGTTTACCAAACCATTTTTTATTGCATGTTGACTGGTTTACAGCTGACTCTTCGAGGCATGAGTGAAGCGTTAGTTGACAAGCGGGTTGCTCCGGCCCTTGTTACCTTGTCCAGTGATCCTGAATTGTGAGTTCCACAGACTGCGACCTTAAGTTATCCTGTCTGTCTTTTTGAGCATTCTTCTTGGTCTGCTTTTTTTTTTAATTTAATTTGTCATTGCTAGAGACTAATACAGTATATTTACCTTATACTTAACTTTGATACACATTTTAATAATCAGCTTTTCATCTCCAAGAAAGTTTCAGTTTCTTTCTTTTTTAATTCTAACAGCTCTGTCAGGATTGCCACAATTCCGGCCTTTGGCACTATTATGGAAACGGTTATTCAAAGAGAGGTAGGAAATGATTGAAATTTATTATCTATGCACTGTTGAGGGGATGATACATTACCATCCGTGCACCCAGTGGCAGGGGGCAGGGATTATTATACCTTTTCTTATATCTCTTGGTTGTGGGCCAGAGGAATATCTCAGGATTTGAAAACATGATAGCCTTGCCCAAAGTATATTTTCATATCCTAAGGAAATGTCTAGTCTTTCTTCTCAACTAGAGAATTAAGTACAAGCCAACTCTTAGATGTTCTATTTTAAGCCTAGCTGAGTATTGCAGGCTCGAAAAATCCTTCAAACCAGATCTAGTTCCAAAGCCATCTATTATCCAGTAGACTCCTAGATAGTCTTTTTTTTTTTTTTTAATTTTTTTTTCATAGTTTTATTTATTTTTGAGACAGAGAGAGACAGAACATGAGCAGGAGAGGGGCAGAGAGGGAGGGAGACACAGAATCTGAAACAGGCTCCAGGCTCTGAGCTGCCAGCACAGAAACCGATGCGGAGCTCGAACCGACAAACCACGAGATCATAACCTGAGCCAAAGTCGGACGCCTAACCGACTGAGTCACCCAGGCGCCCCAACTCCTGGATAGTCTTACATAAATTCCTGGTTGCCAGTTTGCACAGATTTGAAGACAATTTGCCAGCTAACTTTAGGACCACAGACCTATCTCAGTTTCACAAATGGAGGCTAGAAGGCACCTCCATTCTCATAACTGTCATTGATGTGCAGGTCAAGTGGGCTGGTGTCCTCTCGTTGCAGCACACATTGCTGTGACAACCCCCTTGTCATGCCCACTTCAGGAGAGTATCAAGGTCTTTCTCCCTAACTTGTGATTTAGCTTCAAGTGTGTTAGGTTCTATCTGCAACATTAACTCTAAGACACTTCTCAAAATTAGTATCAGAATTTCATTCTTTATTATCAGATTGGACATGTTTTTATGCAAATGAAAAACCCTATAGATTAGAAAATAAATCATCTGTGGAAATATTATGTACCCACTTAAATGGAAATACACATTTTACCCCATAAAAGAAACACTATTTTATGAAATTCCTTTAGATTTTCTAATAATAAAAATTAAACAACTTTGTTACTATAGTGGGGAGAAAGTTTTCCATTTTTTCCTTACGTATTTCACTTGTGAAGCAACATTAAAAAGTATTCTGCAAAGCTTGCAGTCTTGGCAGAATTTCAACATATTCTTAAATCCTAAAATAAAAGTGTCTTTTAGGGAAATGTGAGTAAGATATAAGTCATTAATGACTCATTGCTTTCCGAAGGTGAATAATTGGGTAACTTACTATGATTGGTTTTAAGAATTGAAATTTAGATATAAAATCACTATACTGTTTTTCTCTAAATATTGTGGGATCTTTTGTTTCTATAGTTTTTAAGGGAATACTTACATTTCCTAAAAATAAAGAAAGAAGAATTAACCAGCATAAATAAAAGTGTGTTGTTTAATTCCAGGTTTCTACTGTCATGTTGCTATAAATCATTTGAACCCGTGGTAAACGCCATGTTAAATGTGTATCTTTCTCTTTAACAACTTTACTCAGTTTTTAAAATTCTTTGAAGTAACTGTAAAATATCTAATTTTAAGTTGCTGGAAAGAGTGAAAATGCAGTTGGCTTCTTTTCTGGAAGATCCTCAGTACCAAGACCAGTATTCTTTGCATACAGAGATCATAAAAACATTTGGTAGAGTTGGGCCTAATGCAGAACCAAGATTCCGAGATGAGTGTAAGTTGCATTTTTTACCTTTTTTTTTCTGAATTGTAATGTAAGATCAAAACCAGAAGCTCCTCCCAGGATCTGTCCTATATTAAAACCTCATACACTTTATCTTCTGTATACTGAAAGGTAAAAGTGAACCAAGTTGATTATTGTGAAGTGATCGGTAATATTACTGGGTGGGTTTTATGCTATACACTGGTGAAAAGTAACTCATGAACACTTTCAAGTCTTTTTTAAAACATTTTTAAATTACTGAATTTCAAAATACTATGCTGAGTTTTATTTTGAGCTTATTATTCTTATTTTTAAGGAAATTTTTATGTGTTCTCATCCAAAATATGCTTTTCTTGCATGCCATTCAGCTATGATCAATGATTTTGTTTTATTGCATAGCTTTTTGATCTACTAAATGATCTGCATGATTATCTGCTAAAGGATTTTCTCTAGTTTCTATAATACCTCTTTTACCGTGGGCCTCAGCCTTGATGACAGTAATTTCCTTTAGTGGCATCAAATCATCCAGTAATTATTACTCCAAAAGCATGTCAGTTATCACTGCTGTACTTTAGTCCTTTAATTTTTAGCAATTTGACATGCTCCAGAGAGGACCACAGTGGCTTCTTAGGTCATCTTGGTTCCTAGTACAAAACCAGATTCTCCCGTGGTCGGGTTGTCGCATATCCAGCGTGATATTTTTAATATACAAAAAATATTGTTAGGATTTGGACAGCAGTGTCCAAAAGGTCTGTCGAGGGCATGACAGAAACACTTATTAAGCTACAGAAACACGGTCAGGAGATTATGTTTTAATGAGTGATAATGTTGATAACATGAGGAGGAAATAGCAATATTTCACAATTAGTTAACAGGAAAAGTGTTGGTATTTTAGTTAGCAATAGGGATAGCTCCACATACTGTAACATCATTTTACAGATGGACCTAGTAAAAACTCTGTAGGTACTTTGACCAACTTTGTCAAGGATGTCATTGCTCTGAAGTGGAGACACTAAGTCTTGGCTCTCGGATCAAGGAATTGGCTAACGAGGCATTGAGTCTTTGGTGTGTGCCGTGTGGTCGAGTTAATAACTCTAGAACAGGATCTAACCTTTTTGGGTGCATTCAAAGAAAAGATTTATGCATCACAGAGAAGAAAGACATTTTCTTTTCATATTAGTCCCAAAATAACAAAGGTTGGCTTGAGAAAAGTTTGAGGATAGACATTTCCACTGTTTGAATGGATATAATAAACCAATAATAAAATAGGTATAATAAAGTTTACTTTAAAACTTTACCCTGAGGAATTTAATGTTCTATATTAATAAGGCTAGTGGTAAAGTAGAACCCATATTGACAAGGATGCTGTACTGTTGTCCATCTGTTTTTTGTAGACAGTCACTGTTAGAGGAGTTTAGAGGAAGGACAGAGAATTGTTGCGTTGTAGTATCTTCCTTGGAGTGGCATTTTGGATATTTGTCATTCTGGGTTTTTTTAGAGAATAGAGGACAGTGGCTCATCCAGTGGCCTTTTATCTTTCCCAGCTCTTAATTATCACAGGACCTTTTGGTCTTGATTTTATTTCAAGGGCCATTGGTTTAATCTGGAGCACAATGTGGTCTTTTTGTTGTTTGTTTTGAGCTTTTTTACTTTCTAAGGTTCTCTGAAAATGTTCAGTCATGTGCTGATGATTTTCTAACATGGCAGTTTTACATTTCAGGTTAGTTTTTTTTAGAAGTTCTTTATTTCACTTCTGAGTCCATTTACAAAAATAGAGGTTAAGATCCCCTTTTCTTTGGCTGTTGAATCTACCCCAACTATTTTTTTAAAGTTTATTGAAATCTATTTCTATAAAGTCTCCTATTGATTTCTGTCTGTTTTGTCTGGAGTTTACACTCTGTCCAGTCTGTCCTTAGGACAGAGGCTTCTGAAATGGCCTACCTTATGTTGTGCATTTCCTGTTTTCCTTGCCCATTGAAGGTCAGGTATAGAATTATGCGTATCCTGGTTATTAAATCTTTTAACCACTTATATCCATCTGAGAGATTATCAATTAAGTAAATCAATTGCTACAAATGTAATAGCTGGGATAATATGTATATAATGAAACATTGAATTCTTATAATAATTTGTGTCTTATCTTTTGAGATTTAAGAGAATCTTTAATTATAGCCTTTCCTTGGCTCTAGAGTTTAAAGTAACTTCTATAACTTTTTTTTCTAGTTAAACAGTTTTCAGGGGTTGTTATGCAGTATGGTTATTGAGGTTCTGAGAAAAACATGAAGGAAAGGATTGCTTATTTAAGCAGTCAGAAAAGGAGCAGAAGGAAGAAATAGGCCATGTGTCCATAGACAAAGAAGTTCAAGAAACCGTCTAAAGATTTGGGTAGAAGTGAATCTCAAAAATTCTCTAGAGAGACTTAGAGCCACCATTTTGTTGAGGCCTCAGCATGCAGGTTAGTGACTTGGAGTTTCAGTGAATTCAGGGAAATCAATGAATGGAGTTTTTTGTCTCCTAATTTTCTTCTAGAGCTCCTCTTAAGTATGTTGTTATTAATTTTAATAAGTCAAAATTCCCTAAAAATGGCCATTGGTATTCTAACTTTGTGGGGAGTTTTTGCCATTTACTAACGTAAGTATAAAAGTTGTGATTATATTGTTGGTTTATTGAGGAAGCAGGAGATTTTTCTAGGAAGAGATGGTGGCTTTCACATAGACAAACTCAGTGCAAACATGAAAGAAGTCACTACAGTTGGTCAGAAGCCTGTGCTTAAGGTGTTTTGCGATCGCCAACCGAGCAGAGTGGAGAGAGGAGTCTTGTGAGCAACAGTTTGCTAGTCACTGACCCTGGAACCATTTCTTTAAGGAACCCTGGTTTTCGTGGGAACTGGTATTTAGAAGACACCATGTCAGGCACTCGAGGTGCTCATTGCTATTGAATGGGATGCTGTTTCTTGGGCCATCACTTTTATTTTAGTCGTAGGTTGTCTGTATTTTTGAAATTTTACATTATTCATTGAGACAGGTGATATTGTGAGCCCTTTGAGTGGCTTGAGCCAAACCACCAGTGCTATTTGACATTTGTCCTGCTAAGAGTTTGAGAAACTAAAGTTAAGAATTCTTTTTTGAAGGAGTAAAATAATTTGGTGTTGAAGAAGTGTACTATATTTATCCTTTGTTTAATAGCAATGGTAATACCTGATTTTTATAAAGAAACTTGTTTGTAAAGATGATAATAACACAAGAAGTAGATTATTTACATTTGCTTATTTGGTTTTCATCTTTCAAATTAGGAAATGTAATTTCAGTGAGGCCAGATGACCTGCACACAGCCTCATAATTAGGTTATAGTGCCAGTGCTGTCGTCTCTTCCTCCCAAATGTTTTTATTCTGAAAAACATGCTTTCCTCTCTTAAGAAAAAGCAAGTAAAGGATGTGGGTAATTTTTTGAAATCATCTAGAAATTAAAGTGAAATTTTATAAATTTTAAAATGAAAAAAAATTGTTTAATGTATGAGTGTGGTGTGTGCAAGGTGTTAGACAAAAATCTAAACTTCTTTTTCTTTTTTCAGTTGTTATACCACACTTGCATAAGTTAGCCTTGGTGAACAACTTACAAATCGTGGACTCGAAAAGACTGGATATTGCCACCCATCTTTTTGAAGCTTACAGTGCACTTTCCTGTTGTTGTATCCTTGCTTTATAACCTGTATCTATATTTATAGGACCAGTCTTACAGTGGAACCTCCATTGCCAACGTTTGGAAAGTAGTATTTTATCTCTTCAGCTTACTTGTGTAATGATTATAGAAAATTAAAATTTTGATTTGACTTGCCCCACTCGTTATTCTAGCTCTCAGAATTTTAAAAGATCGTCTTAGGTCCTCTGTGCTTTTATGTTTTGTAACTTTGAAAACATTGACTAAATTTTTGTCTACATTAACTGGCTGTGTAGCTGAGCAAGAAAGGATCATAGCTGAGGCTTCTGTTCATCAAAAGGAAGCCTTGTATGTGTCCTGGCATTTGGGTACTGTGCCAACATGGGTGATTATCTCCAGTGATGGTAGAACTGAAGGCAAACTCAGAGTCCCTGGGGGGCTCAGTCAGTTGAGAGTCTGACTCTTGATTTCAGCTCAGGTTATGACCCCACGGTTGTGGGTTTGAGCCTCACTTCAGGCTCTTCATTGAGCGTAGAGCCTGCTTAAGATTCTCTCTCTCCCTCTCCCCCTCTCCCCGCTCACACTCTCTTTAAAAAAAAAAAAAAAAAGAAAGAAAGAAAAAGAAAAAAAAAAACCTGAAGGAAAACTACAAGATCATCTAACCCATGTCAGCTACTACATTTTATAAATGATTAAACTAAAGCTTAAAGACATTAGTAACTTCTATTGTTTTTATAGTTAAAAGCAAAACTATGACTTAGAACAAAGAACTTTAACTGTCCCAGAACAGGCTCTCTTTACTATCCTATGACTAGTAAAATAAAACCAAGAAGGAAGCAAAGATAAAGATGAGCACAGTGAGCTACAGCTTCTGTGCTCACCCATGAAAAGGCAGGCGAGGTCAAAAAGAGGAAATAAGAGATTGAAAAAGGATTGAAAGGCTGAATACTCAAACAGACTATAAAAGCACATGCTCGACAACATAATCAGAGAATTCTGATTAAAACAAGAAAAATGGCAGTAGAGAGAGGTTCCTAGGAGAAAATAGAGGGCAGAGAAAGAGTTACATTGATATTTATGGTTCCATATTGTTATATGCCAGTTTGAAGTAGTAAGTAAAGTGAACAAGTAATTTTAAATAACGTAAATATGTTCCAAAATACCACTGATTCCTGTTTTGGTATATATCAGTTCATTGGCACTGGATTCTTGCCTGGAATGTTCCAATGGGAGATTTTGTTTTGAATAAATCAAATAGGGAAAGTAGAAACATAGAGCTATCTGTTAAGGAGCTATTTGTCCTTTTAGAAATGTTAAAACTTGAAGTTCAATGCACAGTTGAGAGCATTTTATTTTTAGGAATTAGTTAATATAAATTATCTATTCATGTGGATGACATAAACCATGTTTTTTATAATGCAAATTATAAAGTGGCAGAGACAACATATTTTGGTAATTTTTTACTTCAACTACCCATATGTCTTCTACAAGTTTATTTCTACTAAAAGGAGAACTTACCATTATTCTTGATTTATCTTGTTGGCATTTTCTACTTAGAGAAAATAGAGGAAATAAAAAGAGGAAGTGATATTCTGATTTAGTAAGGAACAACTCTTTACTAATGGAGAAGTGACAAGACCCTTTCAAGAAAGTAATAATGGCATGTCAAAGAAAGAAAATATTGCTATGTTATACCTTCCCTAGACTTTGTGAAAATAGATGTTTAAAAACTTAAGCAAAAAGTGAGGTATAATCTTATATGGCAGAGAGTTCCTAAAGGAGTACGCCTCAGGGGAAACCGGAAAGTCAAACAAAGATCAAAAATTGTGGCTGAATAAAACCAAATATTCCAAGTGGGCAAGGCAGTAGTTTCTAAAGAGCATGGAATCTGTATAGAAACATTATTATTGTGTGTTTAGGAATGTACACACTATAGAGTAAATATAATGAAATCTTTACACCAATATAGTAAGGGGAAGAACATCTTAACAATAGGCCTTGTTCAAGTACTAAATGTGTGTGTTCTACATGAGTCATAACTTGTGTCAACAGAGTATTGTGGCCACAATAAAATCACATTGTCCTGTGATCCAAATCTGGTCTGCTGTTCCATTGCGTTCTGACCTGATAGAACACAGGAGTATTGCTCTCAACATATTTTCATAAGGACATGGAAAAACTGTAGCGTTTAACATTATGTATAGTAATAAGTGAAAAAATTATGTTTAAAAAAAAATTCATAGGAATTTAGAAACATGTAACCTGGAGAAGAAATGGCTTGGGGATGAAAAGGTGATTCAAAAATTATTTTATTTTCTTTTTTTAAATATTATTTTAAAGCCTATGTAGAAGAAGGTTAAGCACACTGTGTAACTCAGGTGTAGAGCCAAAGCTAACAGGAAGGTTACAGAGTCTGATTTTATTTATAAGAAAAACTTTATAATTTAGCTATTAAAAATGGAGTGATACCACTTATGGAACTATGAATGTCCTATCACTGTTAGCACTTAAGAGGCATTGTGGCCATCATTCACAGACGAGGTAGAGCTGATTCCTAATATCAGACAGGATGAAATGATCTCTAACTTTCCAACCCTTAACAAAGATGTGTGATTCTACAGGGAGAATGTAGAACCAAACAGTAAGTAGAAAGAGAGGAGGAGACTTAACCCTTTACCAGCACATAAGGCCATCTTCACCTTCTCAGTCCGTATCCATATTTCTCTAGATCAGACTCTTGACTACCAGTTGAAAGGTCACTCACAGTGACGTTTTGGCGGTATTTTCCCCATATCTAGAAAACAAAACTGTATACCCAATATGTTGTACCCCTCTCTGACTATAGGGATTGGTTCAACCAAATGTCATCTATATTTTTAGTACTTATAAATATAAGGCACTTGTTACAGGACCCTTGTTTACAAACAGCTTTTATTTATTCAGAACTATTTTTTCAAGGTTATTTAAATCATAACTATATTTTTAAGGTAAAAGTTACATGTTATACTTGATAATTTTTTTTTCCCAAAAATACTAGTAAACTCACTTTTTTTTTTCTCTTTTTAGACAGAGTGTGAGCAGGGGAAAGGGACAGAGGGAGAGAGAGGGAGGGAGGGAGGGAGGGAGATTCTTAAGCAGGCTCCATGCAGAGCACAGAGCCCAATGTGGGGCTTGATCCCACAACCCTGGGATCATGACGTGAGCCAAAATCAAGAGTCAGACACTCAACCAACTGAGCCACCCAGGCACCCCTAATTAACTCATCTTTATAAAGGAACTCATTTACTGGCATTTTTCTCCTTAGTATGATATAACATTAAATAACTATTTTTAAATGGCCAACAACTATGATAAGGTGAGAATATGATGTTAACAAAGTGAATTGTTTTCTTGAGAAATGCACCCTCTTTCTTACTCCCTTTGAATGTCAGAATAATTAATAAAACTCAAAAGTAACAGGGAACATAACTAATACTAACTTTATATTATTACAGCACAAGTTCTCTTACCCAATTTAGTTAGGACCAGGTCTGTTTAATAGGATGGTTAAAACAGGACATCAAGAAAATGGTGTACATAACTTATTTTAACTTAAAATATGTATTTTCTTTACCAATCTTTTGATGTAGAGCTGAGGCATTTCTTCTGTGTGTGAGTCTGCTGAATTAAGTATCATCTTTCTTTAATAAACCCCATCCATAATGTAATTGTGATTTTCAGTTTATGTTTCTTTAAAGATGATCCGGAAACATTTCTGATATGGGTGTAGACCTTTTTCAGATTTTCATATTTTTCAGAATCTTTTACAATTGTTTAATAAATGCGTCATTAAAACAACCACATTTTAAGCGATTGGCATTTACCATTTTTTCCTAAACTTTTCAACTTAGTTTTCATGGAAACATTAATTTTCATTTCATACTATTTAAACATCCAATCAAATTACATGACTTGCAGTTTACACTCATTTCTCGTGTCTACATGACATGTAATTAAATTATGTAGTGTCATAATTAATCTATACCACTGATATAAGGGATTTGTAGGAATTAACACAATTGACTCTTGATAAGTAACTCAACAAGTGAGAATCATGCTTGAGGGAAGCCTGTTAGAGCTAAGTGATCTGCATGCCTGAGGCATCATTGTTAATATTCTCTTGTTCTGGTGGAACATACCAGTTTGTTTGTTTTTGTTTGTTTTTAATTCCCTTAACTGCCTTGTCTCAAGTCATTTCAGAGGATTTAATGGTTAATCACTTTTTACCTGGTCTCAGATGTTTACGGACCGACATGGAGCATCTTTCCCCAGAGCATGAGGTGAGCTCCCATGTGATTAAGCCACTGAGATTACCCTGAGGCGTGAGTAGGATGTGCTGTGCTTCACTGTTTTAAATATATGTAGTGTAATTTTATGGATTTTTATGTACTGGTTAGGAGATCTTGAGAAACCCCTTTAACATCTTTGATCCTCTGTTTAATCCTATACAGTAGGGATAACATACTTTCCTTCACTGAATATAATGAGAATCTAATGAGCTAATGTACATGAAATGCTTTTTAATCTATAAAAGGCTATACAGTTTTTATCTCTGACAGTTCACTTTCTTAGGAGGAAAGTTTCTGTTTTCTGTCTCAATTTCCTCAAAACTCTTTTATTCTATTTGTCTTCTTGTTGCCTCCAAAACTCTGTTTATCATTTATTTCCTATTCTGTATTTTCAGCCTGTTTATCTACCCATTACCATGGTAGGTTTGATTTTTTTTTCTATTTTTCCAGCTTTTTACAGAGAAAGCTTAGATTATTTAAGCTTTTCTGATGCTTAAATTTAAGACTAAGTGTATCCCTTGAGATACCACCTGTGCGTTTGCTGCATCATATCTTCATGATCATTCAAATTAGATTCTCACTTCTATTACTTATTGATCTCTGAGTTTTGTTAATAAGGTAAATTAAGATTTAATTCTCCTTTGTTTTTATCAGTTTTTTTGTGCTCTTCTTTTCTGTTAGCAATTGAAACATAAAATTATGATTGGGAATTATCTATTTCTCCTTTTCATTTTTTGAATCTCTGCTTGGCATGTTTTATAGATACCCTTTATCAAGTCAAGGAGGTTCCCTTTTATTACTAACTGCTTGAATGTGTTTATCAGGAAGGAGCGTTGGATATTGTCAAATGTTTTTTCTTCATTAGTTGAGATGATTTATTTTAATCTCTTGATTCATTGCCTTACGCTGATGGATTTTTGGACATTAAATCAACCTTTCCACTCTTACAATAAATCCCACTTAGTTATGGTATATATTTGTTTTTATATGAAGCTGTATTTGGTTTGCTAGCATTTTGTTGAGGAATTTTGCATCCAAGATGAAAGCTAAGTCAGCAGGATAGAGCAAACAAGATATCATAAGGCTTATTTCACCACTCTCCAATAGTGTAGGTTGGACTAAAAATAGCAGTCGGTAAATGTTTTTAAAAGTATCAGACTCCCAGATTCCCTTTCCAACCTTGGTAGAATACTTGAGCTTTAGTTTCTAAACTTGGGCTGTCCCACGTAGCTGAGAGCAGGAATGAGTGAGTGCTGTGCTGAGAAGAGGGACATTAAGTGATTGAAACCTCATTACCTTCCACCTTCTTTGATCCAAGAATTCAGGCAGCCCGGATTATGCCCACAGGGGGAAAAAGATGGACAGAAGTTTGGTTTGTGCCTAATTCACTTTAAAGTGAAGTTACTCATGCATGTAGCGGTTCTAATCAGCATTTTAGTGTCCTCAGTCTGTACTGGACATCCCAGGATCACCAGCCACTTGAGAAAAACCTCCAACATCAAAGATGGAGATGAAAACATACGTGCAAGAAAGAGGATACTGGAGGAAACAGACGATGCAGGGAGCAGAAGAAAAAGTACAAAAAACTCACACTAAAAATAAAAAAGGAAAAACCAGCTAAACAAACAAAATCGAAGGGCGCCCGTGTAGCTCAGTTGTTTAACTGTCCTACTCCTGATTTCAGCTCAAGTCATGATCTCACCGTTCATGAGATCGAGCTCCACATCCGGCTCTGTACTAAAAGCATGGAAACTGCTTGGGATTCTCTCTCGCTGCCCCTCCCCCACTCACATATATGCACGCACTCTCTCTCAAAATAAACAAACATTTAAAACAAAATCTATAATCTGTGAGATCAGAGAGCAGAAAACCAGAAAAGATTCAAAAAAGGATGACTCTAGATCTAACTAACATCCATATGACAGAAGTCTCATTTAATAACCAGAGAGCCCTTACCATAAGCTGCAGAGCACTCTAAGATCTGGCGCCCTCCTTCACATGTCAGACCTCCCCTCTGCCTTCCCCCCTTGCTCACGCTGCACCCACCACTCTGGCCTCCTTGCTTAGAATGTGATACACATACTCCCTCTTAGATGGAGCCTTTGCTCAGCCTCTTCCCAGTATCTAAAACACTTGTTCCTTCATCTCCCTCAGGCTTTTCCTTACATGTCATCTCCGTGAAGCCTGCTGGGGACACCTCCGTGTAAATTGTAACACTTCCCCTTGACCTTCTACTTCCCCATATTTTCACTCAATACTCTTTTCAAAGCCCCATAACTTACCTGTTTTTATATTTATTGTCAAGAACATCCACTCTCCATAAGGAAGGAATGTTGTCTGTCTTGTGCATTCTCTGTATCTAAAAAAAGTGTCTGGCACATAGTAGGTGACAGTAAATATTTCCTGTTTAGTAACCTCCATACCCAAACATGGGCCAAGAATATTCAAGACCAGTCAGTGTCTGGTGAGGTTACCAGCAACTGGAAGACCAGCTTAGATCCCTCCACCCTTCCCACCATTCACTCAGTCTCCATGCAAAACTGATGTTAACTCTTAGATGCCCATTATATTCCCAACTGTATTTTAGTAGCCGCAGACCTAGACCTGGTCTCTGCTTTAGACATCACAATAGAACATCTTGCTGTTTGCAACCAGAGAAAACAAAAGCACATGGAACAGAACAGCTTTTACTGGGGAAAAAATGTGTAACCATGGTATGTGTATATGTTAGATGTCTGGACATACACAACTTTTACTTTTAACAGCAGATGGTAAGGAAAGCTAAAGGAGAACTGATATCAGATTCAGAAGGAAGGTTAGTGAAGACCAAAATAAATTATTAGGTTATATGCTGTTTCTGTCCAGGGCACCTGAGTGGCCCAGTCGATTAAGTGTCCGACTTCAGCTCAGGTCATGATCTCACGGTTGGTTTGTGGGTTTGAGCCCTGCGTCAGTCGGGCTCTGTGCTGACAGCCAGCTCAGAGCGTGGAGCCTGCTTCTGATTCTGTGTCTCCCTCTCTGTCTGAGCCTCCTCTGCTCATGCTATCTGTCTCTCTCTCTCAAAAAAATAAATAAAACATTTTAAAAATAAATAAATAAGTAAAGCTATTTCTGTACCTAGTATAGGAATCTAATGTGAATTCCTTTTACAGAGATAACTGCCAAAACTTTACATTTTTAATTAATCATAGTTTATGGGGCTATTAAAATTAAATTAAAAACTTTAGATTAAACAATGGCATTTCACTATTGTAAACTATATTAAACTAAAGTCCTTTTTTTGAAATCAGGTTATTTTAAGTTCCATGATAAAGGAATGTGAACAAAAAGTTGAGAACAAGACCGTCCAAGAGCCTCAAGGGTAAGACATGAATTCTTTTTTTAAGGCTTTATATTAACCTTAATTTCTCTAAATTTTCTATAAATGGGTATTTTATTTTGTGTTACTTTGTAGTCATTTATTGGGAAGGTAAGAAAATTATTTACATCAGCGGATATCGAATGCTAGTTCATAAACCACCTGCATCAGAATTATCTGGGGAATTTAAAATGTGGGTCTCTACCCCATGCTCTGTGCCGTCCTCCCAACAATTTGATTCAGCCTAGGGATCTGTATGTTTTAAAGCTTCCAAAGACATTGTGGTAGGTAGCTGGATTTGGGAATCACTGGTCAAAATAGTTTCACAGAAATTTGAGACTGGAGTTGTAAGGCCTCACTTAATTGACTGCATAAAGGACTATAAACTTTGTGAATGTTCCATTCACATGCTCCTAACCAAACTAACCAGAATTCAAAGATTCATTGAAGTTAAAATGTAAGCATAGACTTGAAAGAGTAAAGTTGGGCATTCAGAAGAGGAAGTAATTTACAAATAGACCATGTGCGCCCTTGCCTTTTGACATAACCTTGAGCAGTTAATCTTAATTAGACTCTGTTAGGCATAAAAAGCTCCAAGGCTTTTCCTTGATAAAGCTGACTACCAGGAATAAGTGTGTCATCCTATCAGGCTTGATACCTACCCATTCACACTGATTAGCCCTCCACACCCCCAACCTCTTCCCCACATGCATAAGCTTAGAGCTTTTTACCTCTACCTGCATGTAAGAACCTTTCTTTAGCCTCCTGGGATGGTAGGAACTCTTCCACAGTTGTAACCTTGGAAACTTAAAACCATAAAAAATATTTTGATGGGTTTCAAATCTGACACAAAATCTGTAAAACTAACACAAAAGCAAACGCCTCTGTTCACTTGTCATACATTAAGTATTAAGATTATTTGGTGCCTTATTTAAATGTAAAAACTTTGGGGACAAAATTAAGAATTCTATGTGAAATACATTCTAAATGAAATTTCATTAATTAGCATAAGGAATTAAGAGAAGAAATATCTTTATAACTTCCCAAGATTGTTTCAGTTATATGACTCCTAAAAAGAAAAAGTTTATTTTTATAATCATATATTCCCCATTATTCAAATCTCCCATATTATTTTTTTAAACCTGTAGATAATTTCAAGTAAACATAAAATAAATAACAGTGAATTCCCATGTACTTATCACTCAGCTTCAATAATTATCATGTCATATTTTATTTCATCCATGCCCCTCCTATATTCTGGTATGTATCTCTAAAAAGATAAGTGCTATTTTTTTAAGACATAATGTCATTATCACACCAAAATAACAACTCCTTGATGTTATCAGCTATGTAACCTATGTTCAAATTTCTAATTGTTTCATAAGTGTCCTTAGTGATTTGTTGTTTTTTTTTTCCTTACAGTCTGTTTCTTTGAGGCAGGATCCAAAGTTCCATACGTTGCAATTAGTTGACACGTCTCTTAAGTCTGTTTTAATTCATAGGTTCCCCTTCTATCTCATTTTTTTTCCTTCATATAATTTACTTATTGAAGAAACTGAGTCTTTGTTCTGTGGAGGTTCCCACAGTCTGAATTTGGTTGGTTGCATTTCCCTCATGTTGTTTTAACATGTTCCTCTGTATTTCCTATAAATTTGGTTGTTGGTTCTGGATCTAGAGACTTTATCAGATCCAGGGCTTGTTTCTTTGTTTTGCATGACTGCTTTCATGAGAGAGACAGTGTCTACTTCTCTCTTTTTTTGGTGATAGTAGCATCTGTTAATGATCACTGCTAGCTCCACTAATTCATTAGCTGTTACTATATTTATAACATATTTGTTAGAATTAGATATTTTAGTAATTCGCTCTTACTAAATACTAATTTACATTAGTGTAAATGTAATACTAAAGTAAATACATTACTATTTAGTAAGAGCGAATTACTAAAATATCTATTTCTATCATCCACTCTTCTTTGTGAGTTAGAATACTTCAGGAGGGAAAACCTTCCCCTATATGTACTACAGTTACCCAGTGATAGAGTTTTTTTAAGTAAAGTCAAGGTAAATGTTCAGTTCTTTCTCTTTACTTACCAGTTTTCCAAAATAATGAATTGATTCACCCTCTAATGGTGACTTGTTTTGTTCAAGTATCATACAGTTCAAGTGTATTTTCAAATATTTGATGTAATTCAATGCACTGTGCTTACCTTTCTTTTGATGCCCAAATTATCCCATCTTTGGCCATTGCAAGACTTTTCAAGATGACTTCCTATGTCCTTTCGACATTAATTTGCCAAATGGAATGGTATGAGGAGAGAGAGAGAGAATATTCTAGGATATAGTTTTTGAAGAAGAAAAGCCAGGAGGCACCTGGCTGGCTCAGTTGGTGGAGCATATGACTCTTGATCTCAGGGTCATGAGTTCTAGCCCCACATTGGGGATTACTTAAAAATAAAAAGTGAAAAATAAGAAGCCAGGTATATAAGAAGTTCTACAGATCCAAAATCAACAAAAATGGCAACTGGTTTGATTTCAATTATAAAGGAAAGATCTGAGATTTCTCAGGAAGAACACAATATTACCTTACAAGACAACCCATTTCATTTTTAACAACTATTTTTTAACAAAAAAAAAAAAAATATCCTGAGTTAAAGTCTCTATAATGTTTACTCTCTAAAATAGGTTTCGGGGCACCTGGGTGGCTCAGTCGGTTAAGCATCCAACTTCGGCTCAGGTCATGATCTCACGGTTTGTGGGTTCGAGCCCCATGTCGGGCTGTATGCTGATAGCTAGCTCAGAGCCTGGATCCTGCTTCACATTCTGTATCTCCCTCTCTCTCTGACCCTCCCTTGCTCACATTGTCTCTCTCTCTCTCAGAAATAAATAGAAAACATTAAAAAAAAAATAGGTTTCATCATCTGGCAGAGCGGTGGGGAAGCATTACAGACCCCTTTGTAAAATGGATAAAAATGTAAACTTTCTCTTCAGGAAAAAATGCTGTAATACAGTGGTTCTTTGAAAAGCTTTGTGTAAAATAGATACGTGGGTCCTTTATACCATAAGGAAAGAATCAGAATAACTGGGGTTAGGCCAAAGCATCTGTGTTTTCAAAGAGCTTTCCAGTGATTGTGATGTATATCAGTAAAGCTATACAAATATACACAGCTATGCAGATACATATTTATATCTAATTTGGTACACATAACATTAGTGTCTGTCTTCTAAATTTCCTCTTCTCCATAGTGAACGTCCCAGACTCTTTGTCATCATTGTTGCCCTCCCCTTAGAATATCACTAAAACTTGATAATAACAAGTATTATCTGACCTCTGTATCCTGTTTTTCTCAATGCAAACTGAAACCATTCTTACGTTACGTCGTACAGTATTCTGCAGGGAGAAAACAGCACTGTAAGCCTAGAACACTAAGGAAAGGCGTCAGAGAAAAGACAGGACTTGAACTGAGACTTACAGGATGTCTAGACACCGGATAGAAAGACAGAGATAAGTTAAGAATGTTCTGAACATTAAATTCAGCAAACTTGACTCAAGGGGGTCTAGAAATTAAGCGGTAATGGTTGGTAAAAATGCATACACACAAGAATTAGATTGCTACGTTTTTTTGAATGCCAAGCACACTTTATGTTGTTAGGTAGTAATTAGCCATTGAAGCTGTTTGAGAATGGGTAGGATATGGAAAAGTGATTATTCCAGAAGTTTATCTGATCATGCAAGGAGACCAGATCTAAGGCTCTTGGAGTAATTTAGTTGGAAGATATTGTCAGTCGGAATAAAAATAAATGATAGAGTTTTCATAGAATAAAATCAGAGTATTTGATTATTGGTTTTAAATAGAAGAGGAAACCATTATTTATATTCAGTGTTAGGAGGAGAGGAAAATGGTAAAACCACTAACAAATAAGGAAATAAAAATGGCAGGTCATTTCTAAAGTTAGGAGGCGAAAAAAAAGCTTGATGATATCTAACAAACGAGAGTATTATGGGACTTTTCCCAACCTCTTAATGGAGATGATATTTGAAACTTGAGGAATAAGTTTTGTGACTGAAGAACCAAGAACCAGGTGTTGAGCCTTATGGAGGTTTATTCTGTGGGAAGAGAAAAGCAGCAGGAGAGAAGAGACAGGGGAGGGCCAGGCTGTGTACTGGAAGAGCTGTGAGAAGAGATTTTCAAGATGGGAGTCGTGGGCTGGCATTTAACTTAGTCATTCACAGTGCACACCGGTAAGGATTACAGGAAACGAGAAGTTCTTGCTGGCAGCCCGCGCTGCTTCTGTAGTTTCAGTTGACCTCTGTTCAGCCTCTGCACCTCGCCACTCACTGTCCTTCTTCAGTCCTCAGGATTTTTTGCAATAGTAATTGCAGTCTGCATCTTTCAGTTGAAGAAATTGAATCAGAGTGATCTAAAGCATCTTGGCCAAAGCCACAGGCCAGTAAAGTGGGTTTATTGTTGGATCACTGAAAATTGTACTTGATCAGTATTCTGTTTGGTGGTGTGATAAGTTAGCAGTCTTTAGTAGTTATTTAGATTATTTAACCTATACAGGGGGTTGGTCAAAAAAAAAAATGGGTTTAAAATTGTTGATTGAAACTAACGCAATTGGCAATTGGGGACATTCTCCCCCCTCCCAACCCACAAAAAAGTAATACGTCACAGGGTTGTTAACAGCACAGTATAAAACCTCACTGTGATTTAATATACTCATTTGTGAAAATAGGGATAATATCTTCCATGGTTGCTGTGATTAAATGAAGTGATGCTGATAATAAGTAACTATTGATACTTACAGCATGCTACTACATTCCTGGCACTGCTAATAAGCACTGTACACTTAAATAATTCTTAATAGACCTATGAGGTAGGTAATAGAAACAGATGAGGATTACATTACAGATGAGATTAAATACCTTGCCTGGGGTCACACAACTGGTAAATGAAGGAGCCAAGATTCAGTCTCCATCCAGACTTGCTCCTGACCTCACCACTACTGCTTCCTTCATCCATGGGTCCACCATGAGCATGAAAGCTCCTGACCTAATAGGGCACATAAAAACTCCTCTCTGCAAATATTAGTTTCCCTTTTGTGCTACCAGTTCAGAATGTATTTATTACTATTCTACTGCTGAAGAACTGAAAAAAATGGGTATTTTAGTTTTTTAATTGCTTTACTTCAATTTTAAAATTTCTTTCCTAGCTCAATGTCAATTGCTGCAAGCTTAGTGAGTGAAGATACAAAGACCAAGTTTTTGAACAAAATGGGCCAGTTGACAACATCAGGTGCCATGTTGGCCAATGTGTTTCAGAGAAAGAAGTAAAAGCAGGAAGGAAGCCCCCAGTAAACACTAAGATGGACCTCAAGCAGACTGGTTCCTTGTACTTGAAGTACTTGCCTTTTTTATTTTCTTGTTTTATGTTCTTGCATTATAATTTTATCCTAACCTCCAAAGATATTTGCACTGCTTTTGATTATTGCTGTATATCTGTTAATTTTGGAATTATAACTGTGGTAATAGAAAGTTGAGTTTATAGTCTGTACCGAGTCCCTCTTCTGTGTTTTTGTCTTTCAGAATAATTTTATATATATATATATATATATATATATAGTGAAGAGTTTTTTTTTAATTTTTGGATGGGATATTAGCAAATATCTGTATTATACACTAAGCTATTACAGTGGTACTTAAAATAATGTAAATTTGAAGTCATTGTTATAAAGTAATAAAAGTGGAGATTACTTAAGTATTTAAATTATGAAAGAATAATACAGACTTTTTATTGTTTCTTAACTGACTAGAAAGAGCCACCAGCATTACTCTGTGCCTTTTGGACTTCAGTTTATGTGTCTGTAGGCACTGTATGCATTCCATTCACACAGTATTTTACAATGCTGTGATGAATTTGAATTACAGATCCTACAGTAAGTAGATAATGATGAAACTTTCCACATTTCAGAGCTCTCATGAATATTCATTAAGTGCTATTCAAACCTCCCCAGCATTTACATGCATATAATGGACTTACCTGAGGAAAGACAGCACAGAAACATGGGGAGTGGTAACCAAGGTGAATTTTACAAACTGATGTGTAATAGATTTAAACATTCACAAGTAAATGTAAGTAGGAAGAGCTAATAATTGTGAAAATTTTTCCCCAAATTTAAATACACAGGGAAACATGGTTTCTATTTGAAATTTAACACTTATTTATGTAAAATATTTTATTTAAGATATTTTCTAATGATTTTAATTTCAGAGCTATTCTTTTCATTATGTGTCTTCGAGAAGTACCGAAAGTTAAGGACATTTGGGGGCTGCTTTTTTCCCCTCTAAACTAAAAATGACATTAGCTAAATTATTATTGGTTAGTTAACACCTTGTCCCTTAAAGTCAGTGACTGTTCTTGTGTTAGGTATATATTACATAGAGTCTTAAGTCAGTGTTCAGTTCTACCGGAATTTGACAGTTGTCTATAAATTAATGCACTTGAAGTAGAGAAGAGTGGTACTGGACATAGAAGGGGGATGGTTGGTGTGGGGTTAATGTGAGGCCTTTTTGAAAAATGAATATTTTGATAAAGAGAATTCTTGTTTGAGCACAGTTGATGCACAGAGGTGATTCTCATGTTTGTTGTATAAACTAGTTTAATACACTTGGAACATAGTTGGATTACATTGTCTTCCTGGGAACGCTCGCTTACCACCTGTTCAAGCTTATAAAATAAGTTGCCATAGACAAAGCCATTTAAAAAGTTCATTCTGAAATTATTTCTTTTACCTATAGTGAAATAATTGTTAAAATTAGGCTTTCAGAAACTGTTGGGTTCTAGGCATTCCTGAGAAATTGAAAGTGGCTACCTTTCGTGTCAAAAATGTTGATCTATTATAAATAAACTGTTTTTGCATATTTGTTTTTGTTTTGTTTTTGGCTATGTGTATTTATTTTCATTTTGAAACACTATGTCTCCTATATCCAAGCAGAAAGAAATGAGAAAGAATATATTCATTAAAATGTACTAATATGTGATTTAAGGAATAGAATCTATATAAATTATTAATTTAGTTTACTTTTACTAAAAACAGATTGTTGCTATAAAATTAATATACTTCAGAGACAACTTAAAGAAAATGTTAAGGCTCTCATTTGCTTTGAAATACAGTAGAATAAACATATCCATTACCAGATGAATTAATATAATTATTTTTATTAATTCATGAATCTATTTGTCTAAATGCTAATGATTTCCTTAAAAAGCAACAGCTAGTAAGATACACAGTATATTTCAAGGGAGTCTCCCTTATGCTCTTAAATATCTTAATGTCAATGAGACTTCACATTTATTCTCACAGTTATTTTTAAAGCAAACCATGGATTATTTAAAGACAAAACAGACTTCCCACGGTGATCACTGAGACTGTGTGATCACTCTGCCTGATGCGGGGCTCGAACTCACGAGCCGTGAGATCATGACCTCAGCTGAAGTCGGAGGCTTAACTGACTGAACCACCCAGGAGCCTGGAATCTCAATTCAAGTTGCTGTCAAATTTCCTAACAGAAAAAAAAAAGGCTCAAATAAATAGTCTGATAAAGTTTGGGGAGGTGAAATCACTCTGTATTGAATTGTCTTTTCATGACCCCAATATTTAAGATAACCTATTTTCAACCATTACTGAAACTTTAAGAACAGAACTTTCTCTGGACACACCTTGTTGATCTTTGAACTGTGAGAGCTAACTGCAGTGAATATCGTGTACTGGTCACCAATATCTTAACTATTTCTTGTAGAAAGAGTCTATGTTTAAAGAGTTGTTAATTAGCAATTCTAATTAAAGTTCTCCAGATTGGCTGGATAACAACATTCCAACTTTGTATTGGATGTTAACTCTTTCATAAGCAAACCATGAAATAATCTTAGCTTTTCATATTAATAGATATGTGTTTGAAAGTTCTAATGTAACCTTACAGTGTGCTTGTTTTTGTTACTATTTTATTTCAGTGTATTTGAAAAATAATAGATTAAAGATATTTGTTACTAATAAAACATGTATTTGGTAGGTTTCTACATAGTGGCAAAATAATTGGATTTTAGGCTATTTTCATACTACATATGGATGTCTGCATGCATTTCATCTGTGGAATTAGGACTCTAGTCACAATCTCTTGAGTGGCATTTCAGTCTTTCATATTTTCCTGTCAGAACTACAGGAAACTTTGCTTTGATTGCCTTGTTTATGGTTTACTTTGTTTCCATGTTTAAGAAAAATCTTCAAATAAAAATTCGTATTCACTATTGGACCACACCAGTCATAACATGACAGTTAACGCAAACTTAACACAATAGAAGTTTTATTAAATAATTCCTTTAGTTCAGTGTGGTAAAAATATAAATTATTTGCTTTCCTTAAAAGAGTCTTCAATAATAGCTGGAAAATTCTGTCCAAAGCATGTCTATATGAAAGAGTATATACTATTTTAGTTTCCTTTTATTGGGGTTAAAGGTTAACCCATTATATTTATTTCAGTAAGATCACTGCATGAGTAGAATTTCTTGAGGGACTTTAATGTAGTATAATTTATGTTGTCTATAAACCACCATTTTGTGTTATATGTTATAGATATTAATTTTTTTGTCAGTTATCATTTGTTGATGGTCTGCTCTTTTAAAATTTTTTAAACTACCCTTACTTTTGAATTGTTGGCCTTTGCAACCTTAGATATTTTTAGGATATTCGTTTTCAATGAAGCTGAAAATGTTATAAGTACCTTATGTAATGTATATATTCCTAAGTAATATAAATCTAATAATTTCTCATTGATTCTACGTTTATCTTCATTCCTGATAATCACTTGGCAATTCTTTAAATTTGTAACTTCCTCTGTCCTAAATCTCTGTGTCATGTATTAAGTATTGAACCTAAGGTGAATGCTTTTGATAGTATAAATCATTTTCTAATTTCTTTTTTACATAAATTTTATAAGTATAGTTCCCTTTCTAACAAAAATTCTTTTTTGTCTTACCATTAAAGAGCATGGAAATGATAACATGCTATTACTCACAGAACTTTATGAAAATTATGTAATAGTAAACCTGAAAGCACTTTAGCACTTAGAGAGGTATCATGAAAGTTCAAAGTAGAATTAAAAAATTTAAACCACGGAATAACTAAAGCATGGGTTTAGTTTTATTTATACTTTTATTTTCTAGTAAGTGTATAGATTACCATGACATGCATGATTTACCTAAAATTGCAATAGAAGGCAGAACCCACTTTTGATTGCTACTTTTGCGTACTTTTAACCACTCCCAGAGTTTCCAGCCTAGTGAAGACTGGTAAGGTAATTTTACTTTCTGTTTACCAAATCTTGTCCTTAATTTTTTTCAAAAGCCTAAGTAAATTAGTTCAATAAATTAATTTTTCATTACATAATTATTTAGGTCTTGTAAAAGATTTTACCCTTTGCAACTTCACTCATGTCTCTTAGTATATATTTGATTCAGTTAACTGTTGACCAGTGATTTCAAAAGTTAGAATCCTGGTTTCTTGCAGACACTACAAAAGTATTCAGATCTTAGGAGGTAAATACTGCGTATCAAATTTGAAGACCATTTACTTTTAGCTATCATACTACTGAAACACTTAACAGTGTTGTAATGTAATCATCGTCAAAAAAGTCATGGAGAGATGACAGCCTAGAGATTTTACAACATGTGGATTACCATTCTGAATCTGTAGAAAGCCTCTTCTGGGCTTTCTGACCACTCAATCCAAAGTAACCCCTATAATTCCTTGAGATCACCCTGGTTGTCTTCTTCATAATTACTCTTCTCAATCCTCATTTTTTTTTTTTTATTGTCTGTCTCTTTCACTAGACTCAGCTCCATGAGAGAGAATATTGTCTATCCTTTTCAACCAATGTGTCTCCAGTATTTGAAGAATGCCTGGTGTATGATAAGTACTCAACATTAATTGAATGAATTAATGAATAACAGCTTGATACCAATTCCATTTAAGTTTGCCAATTAGAGTAAAGGGATGATTTATGAATCCCTCAAAACAGCATGAATTTACTGAGACTACATGCCAAACTATCCTAAAGTTTTTTTTTCATAGAGCTATTATATGTTGTTGATCAGGAGAATTGTGTAATCTTGTGCATCTTGACCTCAGCAAAGTATGTGACTTTGTTTCTTATAGTGAGGTTATATCCAAGGTAGAAAATATGGAATAAATAAAAGTCCCTTAAAGAGTTGTGCCACGTGTGTATGCACAGAGCTTCTATTCATATCTGGTTCTCTGGGCAAACCCTTTTATCAACAGATCTCATCAAGTCTTCCAAGTGATCTGTAAGTGTGGAGAGGCCATCCCTTTCTAAAGATTGTAGTCATTCACCATTCATCGTACATTTATGGAATACCTATTTTGTGCTAGGCATAGGGGTACAATGAATAAGACTGAACTAGAGCAGAGCTTACAGCCAGCCAGGCAGGGAAGCAAACAAATGGAGAGAGAATGACTGAGGAGAACATACTTTGGTTAGGGTGTTTATCTTTATGGTTTACTTTGGAAGACATCTCTGAGGTGACA